TCCTTAGGCCATAGGATGTTTTAGTAGGAGAAATGGAGGCAAGAAGTGTCTTTCCAACCGGCTCGCGGCAGCGAAGCCGACGGCTGCGCAGGGGTGCCGACACGACGATTCGCAGGGCTCCTCTACCCCATCTTCTTAGACTCTGTTTGTGTGGGCCAAGGCATGTCGGAGCCGTGCGGCTTCGAAGGAGGCCTACTCGTTCACACCTACGAGGGGCGCGGATCCCACTTGGACTGCGAGGCGAACCGCGCCATCATGCTGAAGTTTGTGCTCAGCTTGTGGATGCTTGTGGCTGCAGAGACTTGCCGCCGCAACTGGGAAAGTTTTTAAAACCACATGACGCAGAGCCGGCAGCAAAGGAGCACTCGCAGCTGCCGAGGAAGGTCGACGGTTCCGTAGAGCCAGCCTCCAGCCCACTGCCAGACGGTGTCTCGGGCCCGGCCTGCTTTGTTACACGTCATTTCCGATTTCATTGAGCCCTTGGCGTTCCTCCGAGCCACTGTGGTTGTCTGCCGGGCAAGCCCTCCCAAGAGTCGAACATGCTCTGGGCCTTCTGCAACCTTATCTCACTGCTGACTCTTCGCTGTCACTACGCCGCTCTATCCCCATGAACTTCTCACTCACAGACGCGCCGTTGACTGTCTACATCGCGGAGCCACCCTCACCGTGGCCCACGCTGAATGGTGTGCGTTGCTTCCGCTGCCACCCACGGGCCATTGTCCATTGAGCACCACTGCGGCTCTGCACCCAAGCGACGGGTGGCTTTGTCAACTTGGCTTTCTGCGCAGCCCAACGGGCATCCAGAGTCCATGTTGACCTTCTAATGTTGAAGCTGTGACGCATTTGCAGGATTTGGAATTAACCCAACGCCGCCGGCTGAGGTCTGCTCTCCCACAGCTTCCCGACTTGTTTCACGCGAATCCGTTTTGCTAGGTGAGCGTCGAAACGACTCAAATGCTACGACAGAAAGATCTGACAACCGTGACAAGGTCTCAGGAGCTGTCGAATTGCCAAATCAAGCACTGTGCTGTTTCGGGGATCGGTCAGCCGATCTATGGATACAACCTTAAGCAAAGCACACATTCTACAGCACAGTCAAGTGCAAAAGAAACTCACCACAGGCGCAGGAATAGTCCGCTTGCCCCACGCCTTCTCTTCTGACAAGCCCTCTAGCTCTTTGCAGAGGGCTCGCAAGGAGTTGCCTGGGCTTGGGGCCGACTCCAAGCTTGGCACGACAGCGACACCCACTCCGAGTTTCTTGCATTAGAAGTTGAAGCTTTTTTCGTTGCTGAGAATGTGCGATGCGATTCTGAGCGTTTGCACTTTTGCAGTTTTGCATGGGCTCCGGGTTAACAAGCAAGGCAGGGACTGGGTCCAGCTCCTACCACACCTGCGCCGGAAAGGGACCACGACAGAGGCATTGGGTTCTCCCATCCAAGACTTCAAGCCCGAACGGCCCTAGACCACTCTGCCCTCACCTCCCTACACCACACGAAACCATGAAGCCTCAATCCTCCCGCTTTCTTGCACATTCCTTGAGTCTCCAGCCGTGAGCGGACACCAGCACCACCTTGCCGGCCTGAACCTGGCAGGCCAGCTTGCGGGTGCTTTGGGGTTGATCTTGAGGACGTCGAGCTGGCAGGCTTACGGCTTCCGAGGTTGTGCTTTCAGGGTGTAGGTCCTCTTCGACGGTACCAGTAAGGGTGTTTTGTTTTGTGTGTGTGTGTGTGTGTGTGTGTGTGTGTGTTGTGCTTTTCTGCGTGTGCTGTTGTGTGTTGTTGTGCGGTGTTGTGTGTCATCGTGTGTGGTTGTGTGTTGTAGTGAGTTGTTTGTGTGTTGTTGTGTGATGTTGTGTGTTGTTGTGTTGTCGTGCGTTGTTGTGTTGTGGTTGTTTTGGTTGTGCGTGGTGTGTCACGTGTCGTGGTTGTGTGTTGCCATTCATGTGTTCTGGCGGTTGTGTAGTGTGTCGCGTCTCGCGGTTGTACGCAGTGTGTCGTTTGTCGCTGTTGTGTGCGTTGTCTCGTGCGTCGTGCTTCGTGTGTCGTGTGTCATGTGTCGTGGTTGTGCGTCGGGTGTCGTGTGTCGTCTTTGTGCGTCGTGTGTCATGTGTCGTTGTAGCGCATCGTGTGTCGTGTGTCGTGGTACATTTGTCGTGGTAGTGCGTCGTGTGTCGTGTGTCGTGTGCCGTGGTATGTTAAGGTTGCACGTCGTGTGACGTGTGTCGTGCGTCGTGCGTCGTGCATCGTGCGTCGTTCGTCGCGTGTGTCGTGTGTCGTGCGTCGTGCATCGTGTGCCGTGCATTGTGTGCCGTGCGTCGTGTGTCGTGCGTTCTGTGTGGTGTGTCATGTGACGCGTGTCGTGGTTGTGCGTGGTGTGTCGTGTGGGTGTGTGCGACTGTGTGTGGTTGTGTGTGGTTGTGCGTGGTTGCCCGTGGTTGTGCGTGCTTGGGTGGGTTGCGCGAGGTTGTACTCAACCTAACATGGCAACCCTCGAACCCCTCCAAAAAGAAAGCCGATTATTTTACTTCGAACATCCCCAGCCTCTCTGGGTAGAGATGCTCTGGGGTTGGGCACTCTGGCGTTGGCGCACTCCTAAGACACTTGCACTCTAGGGACAATCTGCGATTGGGCACTCCAGGGACACTCTGGGGTTGGGCACTCTAGGGACACTCTGGGGTTCAGGACTCTATGGACAGTCTGGGATTGGGGATTCCAGGCACACTCGGGCACACTCTGGGGTTGGGCACCCTGCATTTCAGCGAGGAGTCGACCGGGCGAGGAGAAGTAGAGATAAGAGTTGAGTTCAAATTCTAACAACAACACACCGAGGGTGGGGAGCAAGGGCTCGAACCCTGGCTGATGCACAATCTACCACTTGCAGAAATGTGTGTTCCCGTGTTTCCGTTTCCTGGCTTTGGGCTTGGTGCTGTGCCCTCTGCCAAGATCTCTTAAGGCTGTCCTTTGGTCACGCGCATGAGCGATAAGGGTCAAGACACCAAAAAGCAAGAAAAGGAGAAGGCTTCCTAGAGAAACGGAAAGGAGCCTCCGCTCCGGAAAGTCCGAGGCCGAAACAAGGCCAAGAAGGGAGAAAGCTTCCCCAAAGGGGAGGAAGGAGGAAGCAGCCTAATTACCCCTGAATGCACTAGTCATGTTTTTTGAGATGTAAGAGGCTTGGGGAAGTCTCTTGGCCGGGAGCACACAACCCCACAAGATCCTGAAGAGGGCAAGGTCAGCTGGGGATGTGGTGCGCTGAGAGGGTGAAAAGAAACCAAAACGAAACAGACTCCAGGCAAGGCCTGCCGTGCTGCACACCTCAAGCCCTGGACCCCAGTGTGTCAACTTTTGCCGGTTCGGCGCAAGGCGCGATTTGATCATGCCAAAGCGGCAGCACGCGGTCAACCTCGGCACTCCGCCGAACCTCCACGAAGCTCCCAGCCATGGGAGACTCATCGTGTTCAAAATTGTATCAGGCATTTAGCTTCGCAGGATGACCTATGAATTGAAAAGCTTGGCGGGGTTCAAAGCGGGTCCAGACAGACTAAGGCATCAGCCGTCATTCGCACAGACTCCGTGCCTGGCTTCTGCGCTCGTGAGGGTTTTGCGGTGAACTCTACAGCAACCCAACTTTGTTGAGGTGTCCGAAGGCTAAAGACTGACATTGCGCTCGCGCGCATGCGCTCGCATGTTGGAGCACTTGCTTTGGCTGAAAGTGACAATGGCGGAAACTGCATCACTGCCACAAGACCATGCGCAATCACTCAGGAACAGCAACCCTAAACCCCCCTCTCAAAAGATTCAAAAGTCGAAACCAAAGGAACTTGAAGCCACATGCCTGGTAGGGCATCTTTTGGCACCGTCTCGTATAAGGGATCGTTGGCAGGATGCCTCGCGAACCACGGGGGCTTCAAGAGATGCTTGGGCTTAAAACAAGCTGTGCTACGGGATGCTCACCTGAGCTTCTGTTACTATAGGTTGTGAAAAGACTTCCGTGCAGGCTTGCAATCTGCTAAATGTTCTCCCACATCCTTACTCAGAACTATGGGAATCGAAAACCAAACAGGCAGGAGCGGCAACAATAATGCCATTGATTTCTTTCAAACATTTCCAAGTCTATGGTCCAGCAGCCTAGCATGCATTGACAGACGTTCGCCATCGTTCGCCTTTCGTCGTCTGCTTCCACAGCTGGTGGCATGTCGTCATAAGTCTGGAGCCAGGAGTCCACCTGCTCTTTGGTACGTTAACGGCTTAGGAGTCATAAGTTTAGGATGTGAAGATGCAAGGTTCAGGGTTTCGGGGGACACGGCTGAAGAAGACAAGGCGACAAAGAGGACATCTGCTCCCCTTTAAGGCAAAAAGAAAAAGATGACTTGAGAAAGCATTCAGCGAACAGTAGCTTCAGGTGTGCGCAGCCCTCACTGCAAAACAGCTTGCTACCCCTTGCTGGCCACAAATCAATCGAACGTGCATGCATCCTGCAGCATTGTGCGACTTCGATTGAGTCTCAGAGTTTGGGCTTCAGGTGCTCTCAGGCTTAGATGAAAGGCCTTCTCGGTGGTATGCTGCCATGCGGAGTTGGTGCGGCCCATACCTATCAACGTACCTGACGTGGCACTGTCAGGACTGTCGTACCTGTGATGGTCTTCGGCAAACTGTATGTCCAGACACATGACGAGGTCCTTTTTAAGCTGTGGTGCCAAGGAAGCCATGATTCCCCTGTCGCCGGGACTCTCTTGTGGCAAGTTTTTTGCTCCAAGATATGCCCAGCCAGTTGTTCTGAAGTTTTCGGGAGAGAAAATCGTCGCTAGGAAAGCACAGAGCCGCCACCTTCATGAACTTGCCTGCCGCCATGCCGTCGCAGATGGTATCCAGAACCATGCCAGAGCAATCGTCAGCATCAGTGCCCAGACTCCGTGAACCCGCCGGCTGAAACACCCATTGGACAGCCTGCAGGGATCCACAAGCAAGGCCCGAAGAAGCCAAATCCCGTCAATGTTTTGTCAGCTACTCCATGTCGTCCAAATCCTCCTGGAGCGGAGACCAAGGCCTGCGAGGGCCAGGCTGCAGATTCCCAAACCGAACCCTTCCTTGTCTACGTATCGCTAAAATCGCCCCAAAACCATGCAAGTGCTGCTGTTGCATCTTGAGCGGGAGGGAGAGGGAGGGAGAGAGAGAGAGAGAGGGTGCTGTTGTTAAAGAAACCTTTCAAGAACCGGAACTACATTCGGACTCTCGACCCAGCTGTTGCCGGAACCTGGAAGGCCGTTCCTCTGGGTCGGCAGGCGCATGCCCAGGCTGTTGCAGTCGTGGCGGCGGTTGCGCAAGGCTGCCTTTTTGCAAACCACAAGGGCTCGGGGCGTCGGGGCAATCATGAAGCAGCTATGATTGTAATACAGGACTTCGCAAGTCGGTCGGCAAAGTTGGGTTGGGTCACTTGAGGAAGTAAACGATTTTCTCTATATATACACATAGTCACCCTCCCCCTCCCTCGAGGACCACACAGAGTATGCACACAGTAAACGCATTCCGCTTCTCATACAGACTCGACATGCTTAAAGCCTTGTCTTTTGTGATCTTTTCAATCTTTAACGAATAAAAAAAAAACAACGCTACTCTGCCAATACTTCTTACCTTGTACACCTCGTTCTTCCACACTACCGGAATGTTGAGCGCGACCGTGTGTTTTTCATGTATCCGCACTGCCAAAACTACTCGAGCGTTGAGCCTTCTTAGTTGTTTACCCTTACCTTCTTGGATGTCGTGGTTAAATTCATTGTAAATCGCTGCAGTGCGATTTGTGCTGTGCTTGTGCTGCATGCTTCTCTGTCGGACAAAACCAAGGCCACTTCTTATTGATGCAAGTTTCGAAAAGCATTGAAAACATAAACGCTTTAAGAATCTCATAGGTTGAATAGCAGAGTTGACCCCGGTTCGATGTTTACCTAGCCCATTGAAATGTTTCAAAATCTCAACTCGAGGGGCAGAACCGCGATAGTGACATGTTGTGAGCAACAGGCATACCGTTCCCAGGCAAGGCAGAGATGAGGCCTCCCATAACACCAGTGTTCTGACACGTAGGCACGGTTGCCCACACCACAGAGAGTCCGCAAGGCAAACGTATACCTTCATGCCTCTTCCATGCGAGAAGGCAAACGACCGAAGATTTAACAAACAAACGGCGCTCATCACATGCGACGTTCCCTGAACTCCCCCCTGTCAAAGGCAAAGATCGACAGATTCGATGAATGGCGAAGCCCCCCCCCCCCCCCCCCCCCCCCTTCCGACCCCCCATGCTTCGTGATAATAGAACGGACCCCGGCTCTACTATTGATGTTTGCAATGGCCTGGCCTATCTAAATAGCTCAAAGATTCTAAACAATAACATTGACCTCAATTCTGTCATTGACCATGAACTCTGGGTCTAGATATTCATCGGAATTAAACAATTTCATTATAAAGACTTCCCCGAATCCATAATTGAATTTATTTGAAAAAGTCTGGCCGTTTTAGTTTTAAATCATATCGAACCGTTTCAATACCAGAACTGAGCCAATATTCTTACATTTTTAATTGTCTGGCACGCTTTAAATTAGAATTTAAATACTCAAATTCGTTCAAAAAAACAAGACTGATGCTAACTCTATCATGAAATACTTATACTTGTCGAAATCTCCGGATTCAAGTGATCTGGATCCAGGACTGCAAGGATTGCAATTGAAAGTAAATAACTGGATTAACACAAGCAACTCAAGAAAAAATGATTTGTCCTAATTCTTGCCACTCAGTTGGCCTGCTTCAATGTACTTAAACCATTTGAAAGCGGAACTGGCAACATTGTTATGATTTTGCTTATTTGAACCGTATTTTGGGGCGGATTCTCTCGCAGCAACACAGTCAGAGCAGGATGTTGCGCTTGGGCCCGTAGGATTCTGAGGTATGGGGATCCAGGGATTCTGAGTGAGTTAGTTGGCGGGCCTGAGAAGCTGAAGGAGCGGATGCCGTCACCTCTGATATCAGCTGTTTGAAGTGCAGGACATGCGAGTTATCATGGGTTACCTGTGCTTTCTGGAAACTTGCTCTACGACCAACACAAGGTAAGCTGCAGGCTTCCATCAGGATTTCAGATGCGTCTTTAGCACGGGCTATGCGGGAATGGGCTGGTTTAAGGCTTATCTTCAAGGAAGTTTGAGGACACCTTCACTGAGCCTCACACGGACAACTGGCAAACTTCTCGTGCATTTACAAGACTGAATTTGTGTGGGTCAAACTTATCAGATACAGTGCCCACAAGAAAGTGTTCCTCCCTGCGATGAAATCAACACACAAAAAAAGCTACAGCTAGCGACGGTGCAAGAATATCTTTCGCCGACATTTGTTGCGGAGCTCCAGCATGTTGGGCAGCTGCTTCGGCAAAGAAACGTGGGCCGGATGTTGGCTGAAAGGCTCAGGCCTACAACCTAACATCCCTAACCCAAACATAACCCCCCTCACCCAGGCCTTCGAAGCGCTGTGCGCGATGCCACCGCTGCGACGAACTGTGCCAGTGCTTTAGAGCTAGGGGTTCCAGCAGGAACATGCTCTCGGTCTTGTCGGTCCCACTCAAATTGGGAGAGAGGTTTGGTACGGTTTGATATTGTTAGATGCTGCATCGAAGCAGAGGCTCCTTGTGAGTTGATGCTCTAAATCAACCTCCCAGAACGTCGGCACAAAAATCGAACAGCACGGCGCCTGGCAGAGGATACCGAAACCTGGACTCCAACTCTGACCCAAAGGTTCTGACTTTAAATGCTTGTAGCAGATGTTGGCAGATGTTGCAAGAGCTTCGGCTTCAAGGCGACAGGTTGTGTACGTTCAGGCTCGGGATCTGCCATCTGGAAGTCTCGGACGATTTCGGAGTGAAACTGCTCGAAACATGCTTCTCTACCGACAGGGCCTGGCCTCAAAGCCTAATCCACCAAAAGCCTAAAAACCATCCTTCTGCACGGAGAGCTGCCAAATCCAAAGCTTCCAAAGCCTCCAGGTCCTCCTTTCAAAAGAAAGGCCGCTGATTTCCGCGGCGAGGGTTCAGGGATGTTCAGGGGCTTTGGGTGTCACAGTCAAGTGGGGGTCCTCGGATCTAGGGAGCTTTTTGGGGCTTCGGCTTCGCTGGGGAGTGTGGGGCTTGCGGCTATCTCACCATGTCGGGTGCGATTGGCATTTGGAGATGTTTCTTGAGTCAGGGGGCATTGAAATTTCTTGAGGCTTCGAGCGGGGGATTAGCGGGCACTTAGGGTCTGAGGGTGTCAAGCTTGCTGAGTAGGCCATTGCAGGCCTGGGCTGCGTAGAGTTTACAAGTACGAGTGAGGCTTCACGCGAACTTGCGGATGAAACTCAGTTCAAGCGATCAGGACTATGAAGAATTTACGGGCAAAGACCTTGAATCCAAATTCCACACATGTTACTGGCTCTGATATACACCGCAACTCTCTCTATAGCAATTGCTCCAGCAGCTACCGTCCCCTAACATCTTTTGAGCCCCCTATTGTGTTGTCCCCTAAGGTTGGACCTTCAGTAAGGGCACAGACATCACACGTCACGCGCCTCCTGAGGCAGCAACACCATGGCATTGAAGGCGCATTCCTGCCAAGCTAGTCAATACACGCCTTGATTAACATTCCAGGACCTCGCTTGAACCAAAGATCCTGAAATATCTTCGTAAAAAAAACCAACAAAGCAAGGCGAATCATGACACAAGACCAGCTGACCCCTCGCCATGCCTTCGCCACCTGTAGTCGCCTGCAGCAAACAAAGAACCAAGAGACCAAGAGACCAAAAAACCCCAGTGTCCAACCTGCCCTGTCGTTGCAAGCTCTTGGTACACGAAGCAAGATGGTAAAGGGGACACGATCGAACAGCAACCACGCTTCGAGCAGACATGTGCACCAGATGGGTTCTGTTGCAATTTGACCTCAAAGCACCCGCATCCGCTTCTAGGCCCTCTGAGACATCCGACATCGATTAACGGCCAGGCCACCAGGCACGTAGCGCCGCACGGGCTGCCAGCTTCCCCACTACGTCCAGGAGCCGGGGGACCTCACGCTCACGGTGCCAACCCAGAGCTTCGGCCATTTCAGGTTTTCTGGGCATTGCAGGGCGCTGTCGCAAGATGTCGGGGGCCCGTTGAGCTACAGAGCGCTCCTGCTCGAGTCGCTGTAAAACCTTTTCTGCTGTAGGTTTGCGAATGTACTATAGGTATTGCTTTTTTGTCGCTGACATTGTCCACTACCACATCGAAATCAATGAGCCTTTCAGTTTCTCCTGTGTGTCCGGACTCTCTCGCCGAGGCGCTGATCGTATTTCGAATGGCAATCGACGACCTTTGCGGAGTTTCCGCGTGCACGTCATGTTTCCACCTAGGCACGTAAACGTGAAAAGGTGTCGCATGCTTTTGGCCTGGTGGAAGGTGCCAAATCGCGCTCTCGCCTAGGCCTCCTAGGTCCCATGCACTTTTTGAAGCCTACTCAGCTTCATATCGTGAACAACCGGTACTGACGCTCTTGTTTTGCATGTTCAGCTATGTCCTCTCGGCTTCTACTTTCAATAGTTCAACGGAAAGCTCTCCTACTCTATGCCATACTTTTCTTGTAAGTGCTTTGGATTTCAAAAGCCGTGTTGTTCTGTTGTGGGATCGACTATCGACTTGGCAGGCTGGTACCTCGTGTCGAAAGCGAGCACTGTGATCGCCGCGAAACTGCCGCTAACTGTCAGCTCGTGAAGCTGTACTATCACATCAAGTGTCAGCGGGTAACACGTTCTGCAAGGGGGGGGGGGGGGGGGGGGGGCGCAGGCCCCTCCTCGACTTGTAAACACAACACTTGCATGACGGCTTCCGACAGGATTCACATGCAATCATGTCTGCTGATGTTGATGATGATTAAGCTTAACGCAAGATCGCATGGCTTTGACCATGCGGGGGCCCCTCCTCTTGCAGACATGCTTGTTGAAGCATTTCCCCTTGATGGCCAACACCCCAAACCCTAAACTCTCTAATGCAACGGCGATTCGAATTTACATCGACGGCCCGCCTGCAGATTTTGGAGCGCGCGTGCAGCACTTGGGGCAGGACCTCACCACAGTGTGACAGGGCTGCTTGGAGGTCAAATCTATGGGTGTGATGGGATGCACGAGTCTCGCATCAGCTTCCTGATCAATCGTAAGCGATTCCGTGCTGTTTGGGGCGTATGGGGTGTACAGGGTTTGCGGGCTTTGGGATACTTAGGGTAAGCAGAGACATCAAGAGTACAGCCGACGGCGAGTCACAAGCAGCTCAGGCTACCAAGGTCGCTGGTCCAGCTTCGAAGAAATAACAAGAAAACAAAGCCGTAGACATCCATACACCCACAACTTTCGCCACGTAAGCCCCTGCCCTGCCCGTGCAAACAGCCGACTCCTCTCCGGGCTGACAATCTTCCTCGGAAGCTGCTCAGAGCGGGGAAGTGGCGCTTAGAGCTTTAGGGACAGAGGTCGGGACAGTTCGGGATGTGATGTCCTGGGGTTGCAGGATGACCTGAAGCTTTCGGATGTTGAAGGCTTAGGGATGCTTACGGCTTCATAAAGACCTTGGACTTCTCACCCGGGCCACATCGAGCCCGGCGGGCATCAGCTGACAAAACCTTGTATGGGCCAGGCTGACTGCGGCCAGCATCATGAGCATCAGCTGCTAAACTTTGCACGGGCCAAAGGGCAAAAGCGCTATCAGTGACGCTTAGAGGCTTCGCGGAGGTGCGCTGCGCGCTGTTTGCTAGATGAAAACTGCTCCAAGTCCCGTCATGCTTGATCGTCAAGGACATTCTTGCAATTGTCATGCGGGCTTCGGCCCAACAGAAAGTGAATGTTCGAAGTCAGTCTGTGTGTGACAAAAGCCACGTCGGTCTTTGTGAAAACGCTCTACATTCGATGTCTCAGCTGGGTTTGGCCGCTTCCAACTGCCAAACCTTGTACGGGTGAAGCAGTCCAGCGAGCACCGTGAGCATCAACTGCCAAACCTGGTGTGGGCCAGACAGCTTCCAGCGAGCATCATGAGCATCAGCTGCCAAACCTTGCACGGGCCAGGACACTTCCACCGAGCGTCATCAACACTTGTACGGGTCAGCGAGCACCGTGAACACCGTGAGCATCAGCTGCCAAACCTTGTACGGGCCAGGACGCTTCGAGCGAGCATCGTGAGCATCAGCAGCCGCCCAACCCTGCACTCCCACGCCTGCTCGTGCTCGTGCTCATACTCCTACTCCGACTGCTACTGCTACTGCTACTGCTACTCCTACTCCTACTCCTACTGCGACAGCTACTGCAACTGCTACTGCTACTGCTATTTCTACTACCATTAGTACTGCTACTTCTGCTGCTGCCACTGCTACTGCGACTGCTGCTACTACTGCTACTGCTTCTACCACTACCACCAACACCCAAAATTCGACAAGGGCCCCATGCCCTCCAAGCCTTTCAACTCGAATCCAGGGTCCGACCCCAAACAGCCCGCTGACTCCCTTTCAAATCATAGCTCGGGCCTTGAGTTTGACAGGTATAGTTCTCGTGAGGATGCAGAGCTCGCCAATCCACCACGCTTCTATTTCCAACCCCTGACAGACTTAGTAACAATGCTAATAATAAGCAGGGACCAAGCCACGTAACTTGCGCCAGCTCAAAGACGTAGTTGCCCGTGATGGCGCGGAGGCGCTGCTGCTTCGGAAGTAGGACTCCTTGGGACGAGAAACCTTTAAACGACATGTCGGTTCAGGGTTACGGCAGCTCCAGGGACCACTTTTGCGAGTTGAGCGTTGAGCCTGAGGTTATGGATCAACTGCAACCGCCCATCGAGCTCAGAAATCTTCGCAAACCTCCACTGGCTTGCAGCCAGAGCTCCCCACCAAAACCAGGCACCCAACGAGGATCTCAAGAGACATAGCCTCTGCCTACACAGATCTTAGTGCCTAGGGTATCTTGCTCCCAGGTCTGCGGTGTCACAGCATCGTTTTAAGGTTTCGCGGTTTCTGGCGTGGAGGTCCGCTTTTACTGTACGAAGGGTCGGCAGATGTGGGACTAAGCTCTACCTCATAGCATTGGGCTTGCCGCGCTGTTTAGAATTTGTTTCATCTCTTCCCGCCTCCTGAACACGTGCGACGCGGCCCACTGGAATGCACCAGCCATTGCAGAGCAACGCTCCTGAAATCAAGATGTAAGCGCAACCCATCAAGCATATCGCACGAAAAAGGAAGGAAAAACAAAAAAAACATGCCTGAAACCATATCGGCAACCGCTGGTGGCAACCGCCGCAGCCACGGTGCCAAGCCCGAAGAACTGGCTGTGGGGTTCAAAGAGGGGTGTCGATTCAAGTTTCAGGGCATGGGTTTAGGATCCGGGGTTTGGGTTGGTTCCTTCCCCCCGTTCCCAAAACGTCGATGTTACATGTCTTTTGTTAAGGAGTACATGACGAAGGAGCGGCATGGGGTGCTCAGGAACGCGGGAGGCGAGACAAACGGATAACAACGACGAGTGCGCTCTGGTGTCCGGGCTGGGGAGCCGCAGCTGCAAGGAGCGTACACACCAAGCTGGGCCTCACTGATGAACACCTCCACTTGGTGACTGTCAAACCATGCAACTTGAAGCATCCTCCTGGATTACGCGATGCCCTTTTACCCGACCAGCATTCGCCTAGCCTGACAGTTTGGGAACCAGCAGCAGCAAGCAAACCCCTGGCACATCGATGGGGCACCTACACCCTTAAAGATGTGATCTCAAAGAGTAAGTTCAACAACAGCGCATCGACCAACACAACGCAAACTCCGGCCACATGAAACCAACGAACAGCACTTAAGACGATTACAGCCGGAACGCGGCGCGACAAAAACTGTGGTTGTGCAAAACACATGCAACCGGTCTGGTATCCAAAAGGCATGATAGTCCCCAAGGATCCGTAGAGGCCCTGGTCTGGCAAACAAGGATTTCGAGTATCCTTCGCAAAGCGTTACTTCGAGCAACAACCAGGTTGGAGATGGAAGCATGAGTGGACACATGGTTCCCGAAAGTTCGCCCCCATGACCAAGACGACAAGAAAATTGTGGCTCCCAGCCCCGAGAACTTGCAGAGTTTGATGGAAGACCCACAGCGTCTGTTCAGACTTATCACATGTTGGTGAAGTCGCTATCATTATCAAATCTGCGACTTTGGATGCTTTATGGGCTCGACCTTGAAAAGCCTGGTTCAAACATTCGGAACTGGAACCCTCAAGAAGTGAACAGATCGCAGGTCAATCTCGTTGCAGATTCACCTCGAGCGCGTAACTGACAGGCTTCAAACCGAGGAAGAAAAAGTCGACCTCATGCAGCTTTGGTGCGGAGGCACGAGCTGAGAGACGAAGGCTTTAGGATGTCGGCTTTGGGAATTCGCGTTCGCTACGGGTGTGGCTGGCTTTCTTTCGGTTGAAGACTTTGCCGTAGGAGGTCAGAACATCAACATCTTGGATCATGATGCAGGTCTAGCACAGTGCAGCCAAAGACAAGTTTCACACACACACACACACACACACACACACACACACACACACACACACACACACACACACACACACACACACACACACACACACACACACACACACACACACACACACACACACACACACACACACACACACACACACACACGCACACGTGCACGAGGACACGTCGCCACAGGAGCCGGCAAAGGGAGATGTGCACCCTCCTGGCCGTGACAATCAAACTGATGCCCAAAGACATGAGCCTTCTCTTCACTGCGCTCCCTTTTTATTGATCAGAAAGGTTGAGTATACTTCGGCAAATAGTAAAGAAACACTTCCGCAACACTAACTAGCGTTGCATCCTTAAGATCGTTTTGGAGCTGAAACTATGTTGCACAGCTATTTCAACAAAAGCGGTATGACCTGGATTCAGCTGTTTCATACTCTCAGAGCTTGGATGTGCTCCTTCAAATACAGGAAACCTTGTAATCTTAACGCTTCTGACATCGAGGACCACTGACAATTATTTTGGGTGTCTTGTCTTCAGCATCATTCATGATACAAGGATACAGTTACGAGGATACAACGAGCCAACATTACCAATCCTATCTCGCACGCTCATGTTGACACTAGGCGGCGATCTTCAATCATCCCTGCTTATGGGGCCATTTCAGAACATAATGTAAGCGATTACGAACGTGGTAACAACATCAATGGTCATCTTCTCTCTTCTTGGAAGTCTTGTTTAGTGGAATCATATGTATATTCTGAGTTCGAAAGTGACACAGGACCTTGTTGTGTATGAGCTACATGCCACATATCTTACCGACTGACGGAAAAACAAATCTTGGATTGGCTTTATACGCATCTTGGAAACCCGCCTGTTTTTTCAACCTGCAGACCGAGTAAAGAGAACTAGGGTTTGTTGGCTTCAGCCGGGGATGGCATGGTGACATGAACGTATATGCTCAACAACTGGGCGCCTCCCATCTACAGCTGGCAGATGCCTTCGTCGGCTTAGCATGCAGGGGCGTAGATTTGATCTGGTACTTAGATTCTGTATGTCTTGGTGGCAACAGCTCCTCGTCGTAGCAACGACACGCAAAAAGCTGTTGATGTTCAGAGCTGTTTTCACCATAACTTTCTTGCCAACCAAAGAGCAGAAAGGCATCTGTAAAAATATTTCTTGTAGCCAGGGTGGTCTGGGTTTTCCTGGTCCTATATATTCTTGCCGCGGGGCAAGTGTCTGTGACTGAAAGGGGACTTTGGTCCATGTATACATGGGTCCTTCGCAACTTGTGAAAGCTTGAAGAATGGCCATGAATGGCCATGGCGAAGAAATTTGTTCAACGTCAGTACGATGGTAATCGATCTGGAGCATGGCACTTTAATCTTCAAGATTGAACCAAATACCTTTTGTTTTCGCTACAAGTCGATATGGAATCAGCAATTCTACATTGAACCCTCTATGATGATCGACTGTGATGAACCCTCTATGATGATCGACTGTGATGATTGACTGTGTCATGCCGAGCTAAGTTGCATGGTGTTTGCGTGGAACAGATGTGCTGATTATGTATTTATGCTGGACTGCTTCGGGCGTGCGGTAAAAAACAATGAATGGATCTGTCATAGTTAATGCACTCGCTGTAGAAAGCAGACTCCGCTTGTATTCCATGCAGTTTGTCAAGAGTGTCGACGGCAAGCTCGATAAGGCTCGCAACTTCAGATGGTTTACTTTGGCAAAGACTTCTCTCAATCTAAGAGCACGTGTTGAATGCTGCCTTTCTGCCATGTCCAAGAAACGTTGCGCTATGAAAATTGCTTGGTTTGTTGATCTGTCTGGTCAGTGTCCGCACTGGGCGCTTGGGATCCTGGGATCATACCCGGGCGATAAGCCTTGCACGTAAACTCGATAATATCTAGAACTCTTGCAATAAGGCTGTTAGTCTGTAGTTGTGCATTTGGGGAAAATGGCCCTTCTTGCGAAGTGACCGCAATGTTTGTGCGCTTGGAAGATTCTGGGGATTGGCCAGAGAGGATAATGAGATTGTAAGAGTCTATAAAAGTGGCTGTTGGTCTGACATGGTCTGACTGTTACATTTAACTTCTTCAGCCTTGCATCCATCTGGTCCCGCCGATTTCACATGCAGTTGCTTTCTTCACTGGCTTCTTCCAGTTCTTGAAAAGTGAAAAAAAATCGAGGCTATTGTACCTCTACACAAAGCCTTTTCTTTGATTGGATTTCCATCCCGGTTACGGTACTTTACTCTCCGCTCCTGAAACATCGTCCTGGCCTATTTCAGGCCTTCCCATCTGTATCCGTTGTGATTCTTTCTTCGCTCTTGTAAAGTGCATGCTCTTGATCTTGTTTGTTTCTTGTTTTCCGACATTTTTGGTGCGCGATGGACTTGTGGCTCATGCTTCCTGCCTCTGCTCAAAGTGCTATGTGCAAGATAGGGCTGATTCATGTTCGCAGAATACGTGTTGCGCATCTGCTAGCTATAAGGTTGTCAAAACCTCTGGAAGGGCTTTGATTGCCTGATCCAGTGGCGACTGAACTTACTGGTTGTAATTTGTCTGTTGTTGCGTGGTAGGTTGTCCGTACTGGCTTGTCCCATGTTCACGTGTTCTGCGAAATCCTTCGTTTTGCAAGTTTAACCTGCATGTTACCGTCATATCCACGTAATGTTGAGTTCATCAAAACACTGGGTTGTAGAAAATTTGGCTCCTGAGTTCTCAAATAATGTCACGTCTTCATTGCAGTGCGAAATTACAGTTCAACTTCTGTTGCACGTTAGAATTCGTTTTTGGCTTCCTTTCACATCTTGATCCTTCCCTCACTTCCTGCCCTTCTAGTGGTTGCTGTTGCTGTTGCTGTTGCTGCAGTTTTTGGTTTGCTGCCGGTGCCTATTGAACCTTGCGGAGCTTCGGTCTCAGGGCTTGGACAATCCCCCACTGATTCTGCTGGATTCAGAGTTTGGGATCATTCTTGCCAGGCCTCTGGCGTAACCATGAAAGTCCAAGCAAAGCCCGTAAGCGCCAGCGCAGCCTGCGACGAGATGCAAGGGTGTTGGTTTGGAGCCCGTCTGATTTGGCCTGCAGCATTTTGGGGTTGAAGCTTTAGACGGTTCGACGAAACCTGGTGGCTTTTTTCGGACATAAGCTTGATTTTGCTTGTTCTGGCATCGTCGGCGAGGCATATCAACCACGAAGACAAAGGCGCCAAGAATGCAAGTTAGGATTGAGTGTTAGCCTTCTTTGGGGTTTTAGCCGAGTAGGGGGGAGGGATTCGCTGCCAGTTTGAAGTTTCGGGGTGCACATCATCTTAAATGACGGTCTCCACACCATTCATGCTATCAGGCGGTATTGCCCGTTGGGCTTGCACGGGTGGTGTGCTGATGTAGGGCTGTTGGGCTTTAAGGTTTATGGGTGCAACATGGTGTAGCACGTGCAATGCTTCGGCAAGATTGCTATTGTCGGGCCATGTGCGGCCTGCATGTAAGCTCTCGACATCTCAGACCCTGCGATATCCTCATGAGTAAGCTGTTTGGTGTTGCTGGCATTATGTGACTTACTCCACAGCACGGGACAAGCGACGGCTCTGCAAACGTAACCTAGAACTGATGCATGGGGCTGCAAGCCGTCGACATTGCCTGCAGCTACAAGTACAGACTTATCAACATCTCAAACAGCTGATACCTCAACTCGGACAAGCCCACCGTGAAAATCCAAGCATACCTTGATCCCGGGTGGCACCAGCAAGGGCCGAGGATCATGAGGCGTAAGGAAGGGCCCAGGGCGGATATCCTCGGAACTCGCGCAAAGATGAAGCAAAAAACGGGTATCTGGGAAAGGCTTTTGCTCGAGCATGGACGTGCTGCGCAAAGGACCTATGTCAACCGCAGCACCGACTATGTTCTTTGGAAGCCGTGGGAGAATGACACCCAAGAACCTCACGCACGAAAGCCAGTGTCCGAACCTGCACATGCGCTCTTTGAACAACTTGAGTAAGTTCGCTTAACGAGATCATGGCCTGGGTTTAGACGTCAGGCCAAGCTTCAAGTCAAAGATCTGGGCGTCACCGTGCGTCAGCCTCACAGTACTGCAAATGCAAACTCGGCGACTACCTGAAAGAAGCTAAACATCTTTAGCTCAAGGACGAAACTTGGGCGCAAAAGATCTGGCATGAAAGAATGATTACACCCAACGAGTACGGACATGCATGCTCGGTACTCCTGTGTCATGGTCATGATCACACAACCTGCAACAGGCGCCGCTAGTTTGCAATGGGCACCTGTGAACACGCACATTCCCCCTCTTCCGGGGTTGATGCAATGCAAAGGGCTGCAAGTCATTAGTTAAAAGCTGATTCCAATGAAGATGGATTCGGGCTTAGATTCAAGTGTCGTTTTGGTTTGGTTGGGCCGGAACCATTCCCTGACGGTTGTCTTCATATTAAGCTTTCCTGTTGGAGTCTCGCATCCAAACTAACGTAACATCGGGGACTGTGGCCTTTTGAAACATGCAAACGTTGAGATGCGCTTCGCAGCTCTGGCATTCCGAGGTCGTCAAGGGAGCATGTGTCGTGGGACTATGTCGTATTTGCCCCTGAGGGGTGATTTTAACTCTCCCCCCGGAGTTTTTGCAACTCCTCCCACCGATGATTGAGATTCAAGAGTTCCTGAAGACTTTTAGGGGATCTTCAATCTTCAGGGAGTTGAGTGTAAATTCTCCCCTTACCGATCTGGAGGACTGACTGAAAAAGGTAGGATCGGCTTGAATTTTCCAGATCCTCAACCCCGAAGGCGCCGAAGAAGGGAAGACGCCGCATCCGAGGACCCCGCGGCATGGCCAATTCGCAGACCAGCGCCGCCTCGCGCGCCAACAGCAGCGACAGGGCCTCCAGATGGTGTGTGGTACACTACGGCTTTGAGGGGCTCGGCACGACATTGTTAAGATGTTGCTGTCAGCTTGTCTAAAGCAATCATGGCTGCTTGATCACAAGAACATACAGGGACTCACATGTCATGACAGTGACGCACGGTCGTTTTGGGACCGGACAATCTCTGACACCTACCAAATCACAACCACTGAGGTTTGAGGCTTGGACCAGTTGACCTTTCAGGGTTTCCTACGTACAGGCAACCCTCCTTGACACGCAGCATCAGCAAGTAACAGACTGCAAAGCTGAGGATGATAATGGTAGTAGACTTCTTTGTTAGTGTCCAGGAGCAATGACTGCGCAACGGATGTCGACAGATTGTTGTGCATTCTGTATCTTCTTCAACGTCCGAACGTCTGACTCTGCCCATCCAGCTTGCTTACTCAGGCCAGAACGTGGCCCTTGCACTCTCTGATACGACCCATCAAATTCCCTGGCTTGGTCTCTGAAGGTCTCTGACTGACTTGTTTCCATCTCCTCGAGCCTTGTCCACCTCTGTGCTGCCCAGCAGCATCGTCTCCGTCTGCACAAGGGCCGCTCAAATCTAGTAGTATCAGCCTAATTCAGGGTCTCATTCTAGGAGCCTGAAACCATCGAATGTGTACGCTGAGTCAACCTCGGCCCCAAAAAGACCGAAGCTCAGAACAAGTCCTCACTTGCGACCAGCCCACTTCTAGCGATCATCTGCCTGAGCCGCCCCGATCTTCTCGGCAACTGCTTCAAGCTGCTCCTGCCCCGAGGGAAAGACTTTTAGGCCTTAAACGGGTCTGAGTATTGTCTGAATAGACTCGTGGGTTTGTGAGGCTGAGCCCTGGAAAGGTTCAGCAGCATCAGGCCAGCATAGCCCTAAAACTCGCACCCAAACCACAAAGCCAACAACAACACTCGTCTGCAGCACATGTGCTGTTTGTACAAAAGCAGCGGCTTTGTTGAAGTGAAAGTATGAACCTAAGTTTCGAGGCGGCCTCCCGGCAATGATACCTCCACACGAGGAGACTCCTGGGGTTGAACCGCAGAGCCATGCCGGAAGCGTGAGGGCTTCGGATTTGGGAGCGTCTTCGGGTTGAGCTTCATGGACAAGGCAGGATATCTAGTCCCGATCCACGCATCTCAGTCTCATGTCCTGGAAGTGTGCACTGTTCCGGGAACCGTAGGCTGAGAGGCACTCACCAAGCACTAGGGACTTTCAATTCATCCCCCGAGGCCCTGAGTCTCACCGCACCAAATGTTAAGCTTCAATTTGGGTTCAGAACGTCGGGGCTACCCAGCGATGGAACCCATTTCTTGCCTCAGGAGCAAGGCAGCGGCGGTGGAGAAGTTCAGCCTATTGTGGCGACTCAAGCTGCTTGTGTCATAGCTGGACATACTACAGTACCAATAAAAAGGCCTAACAGTAGCTCCATAGCACAAGCAAACAATATAATGCTCCCAGCACTCCCTTTGATGACCTCGGCTTTCTGCCTGCGACCACGTGAGAAATTTCTAAGCCGAAAAATGCCCCCTCTTCCTCGCCCACGCTTTCTCCCTCGCCCTCGCTCTTGCCCCTTCCTGGACCCCCTCTCTCACCCGCTTCCATGGCCTGCCCCTCCTCTGCTGTGTGCCGCCTGTGTTCATGCAGCGGGGAACCCTGGCCTTGCAGGTCAAGCGTGAAAGTCTATCTTTCCGTCTTTCTGTTTTGGATATTGCTTGTCCTCCTGAAAACCAATGCTCTTCTTCGCCTTCTTCTTCCGGCTTGCTCTCCCTCTCTTCTTCTCTTTCTCCTTATCCTTCTCCTTCTTCTTCTTTTTTTTGATTCTTCCTCTTCTTCTTCTTATTATTATTCTTTTTATTATTGTGCTTCTGCTTCTTCTCATTATTATTCTTCTTCTTATTATTCTTCTTCGTCTTCTTCTTACTATTATTGTTATTATTCTTGTTCTTCTTCTTCTTCTTCTTCTTCTTCTTCTTCTTCTTCTTCTTCTTCTTCTTCTTCTTCTTCTTCTTCTTCTTCTTCTTCTTCTTCTTCTTCTTCTTCTTCTTCTTCTTCTTCTTCTTCTTCTTCTTCTGCCCCATCCCTGAACAAATAATAAATGACCATGGCACCTGCCCCATCCCTGAACAATTGCCACCAGCTCCAACATCTCAAGGTACCAAAACACCTTTCGCCGTCCTAGTTCCAAAAAAGGGACGCCTGGTACAAAGTTGTTCCATGCGCCCTTTGCACTCCTCGATGCGTTGCCGCAGAGCCTGCGAGGGGCTGATGGGTCAAAATCATCCAACCAAAACTCCTGAGCGCCAACTGTTGGTCTTAGGATACGGGTGCAGTCCAAAGCTAGATTCAGTGGGGAATGAGGCCAGGGACCTGGAAAGGTCGGCACTTGAATCCAACTCCGGCCACTGCACGACAGCAATTGCAACTCAAGCGAGCGCACACACAGACTTTGAGCTTGAAACCCCGAAAGCGGTTAAAAGACCAGAACCATAAAGACTGAATACTCCAACATACACGGATGACGCGCACAGATCCCGCAGCGAAATGCAAGCAAAACATCCAAGAGCCAGCAACACCTCTCAAACACCGCAAACACATCACGACAGCAGAGGCATCCTGCAGCGCATCCTGCTGCGTTCTTTCAGCTCTCGCCGCTTGAGCGGCCTGTTCCTGCATAAGCCTCAGCTCACAACTCACAACGTTCGCTTGGGGCTTGGGCTGTCTTCTCAGGTCGTGTCTTCGGATTCTTCACACGCAGGAGGTTTCCAAGGTAGGTTGGGGGGCTGTTGAGACTGAAGTTGAAGGCTTCTGGAGCTTAAGCACTTAGGACACGGCGTTTACGGTTCGAAGGGCGGGTCGCTGGGCTGAGGGTTTCGTGCTCTCGGGGCTCTGGGTCCGGGATTCTCTGCCATCTGAAAGCAAGACAAAGCCATGCGAACCGGAGTACCCGAATAACTGCATTCCAATTATGCTTCGGGCTAAGGGATTAGGGAGGCGAAGCCTGGAGCTCTCAAGTCTGCGCAGATAAACACAGCCTGACATGTGGCGTATGAAAGGTAGACATAATCTTCTAGAGTGAAGCTGTAGAAATTCGGCACTCCTGACATTTCAATCTTTGAAGAAAACTGACGGCAAAACACCTCTGTTGCACGGAGCTGCCTCTCGTGGCCCCGCAAGCGAGTCGCACGGCGCAGGCACAGCCGCCATGCCGAGAGCGCTTGGGAGAGCCTTGGGCCGAACAAAGCAAAGCAAAAAGCCGTAGACCGCAAAGGGGCTCGGAACACCGGGTCCACCGACATGGAAATCGCTTTCTCGCCATGAACTTTTCTTCGACGTGGGCTTGTGCACGCTTCCAAGGTTTCGCATAAATCACTACAGTCATGCAGCCTGCGCCGGCGGAACCCATCAAGACGCAGGCCCCATCAAATCACAGCAACACGCAGCATCTAACAAAGGCCTAGGTTTAAACTCCTCAGGCTTTGACACTCTCCTCGTGAAAGTGTGGAAAAGTCGCTCTGCGAGCACCTCACCCCCAAAGCATGGCTTCATCATGTTGCATGGATTGGCATCATAAATGGGCATAGTAACGTAAAGCGCCTTGCAACGCGTACAGGGTCAGAGGACTTCAGGCATGAGGTGTTGAGGTTTTGGGGTTCAGGATGTTGTGGACTGAGGGCTTAGGTTGAGGGGCGATCGCTTACTCCCTCTATAAGACGCCACTCAGATTGCACCCTCCCAACCAAGCGACATCAAGCGATATCAAGCGACCTTCTGAAGGATTTCAGTTTCGGGGTTTAGGTGCAAGGACTGGGGCAGCCTCCCTTCCCAAGGGCACAGCTGCAGGAGGGTCGAGAGAAGCCTCAGCCAGAGCTCAGCTACAAGGTCTTTGGGTTGCAGTCACTGTCGGCCGCTCGATGTAACAGGCTAACGTCTGCAAGGAGGTTCCTGACGGCCAGGTGACCACCAGATCCACACAGCATGACAGTAGCAGATGCTCGGGCGAGTGCTGAATGTACTGCGCCAGCCCACGCCTCAAGATGTCCGGTGTGTGCTGGAAAGACCCAAGGCTCTGTGCACTCTGGTCCTCATCCTCATCTATCCATGGAGGGTTCTAAACACGAAGGCTCAGCGCCTGACCCGGAATGACACCTGGGGCGAAGGTGCTTGACCAAAGGACTTGCGGGCAGTGGAACAGCATTGGGGACATCTAGGCCTCCGGCGCGTGCCAGGAAGAGCCCTAGACGCCCATGCGAGGCCAGTCCCAGAAACCTGCCAATTTGGGTTTCGTTCGGGCTGCGGGTCCAGCGAGGAGGCTTAGGGGTTGGAGTTGGTGGCTAAGCGATTCTGAATGTCTTGGGGCGCGTGAGGATTTTAGGGTTTGGGCACGCATGTGTCTACGTGCGCACATATACATGGACATGGACATAGACATAGGCATAGACAAGAGATATACATATGCATATGCATATACATATACATAACATACACGGACACACGCATGCGTATTCCCCGTTCCCTGCCACGAGCAGATACTGCCACGAGCAGATACTGCCACGCGCAGACATGTCTAGCACATGACCGTAACTCCAGAGTTCTTTTCCACATTCTTGACGTCCATCTTCATGTACTTCCACAAATACAGCTTGCAATGCTGCACACGGAGCCTACATCCAACACCAACATTTACGAGGAAATGACCATCAGACCTGCATCACTGCTCGAGACTGGCACCTAGAATAAGCTTATCCAAGGCTTGGGCTGCAGTCTGGTGCCTCTGCCTTGGACTGGAAAACCATCGAGGCATTCGCCCACGTGGGGTTTTCAATCTTTGCCAAGGCTTCTACACGACTCAAGGGCGGTTCGGCATGTTGAGCTACATGCATCATTGAGCTTTGGGCACCTTTAAGTCGGACGTCCGGACCAAATACGCAATTGGCGCTTATACACAAGCAGCTGTCACGCTTAGGGGTCAGCAAAGGCGCGAGCCTCACATACGAGTAGGAGTCTACGAACAAGGGATAACCAGCAGAGCTAGTTGGTGAGTTTCAAACTGCGTCATTTTCTTTGCCGAGGCACCTGGCACCTCCTTTCTCGCAAGCGCAGGCGGCGTCCTCGGAAGGCAAAGAGCACAAGGCAAAGGCCTCCCTCCCACTTCGGAATGACACATCTCAAGGTTTGGTCTACGCAGCTATGGACTCTACTTTGCTGATGCTGAGGTTCACGGAGTTTCCTACAAGTAACACACATGCCAGTGTGCGTGCATGTGCAAGCTCAATGATGAGCGATGCCTTTCAGGACCATACCCCAGGTAAAGCTGCACAAGCCCACATGCAATAACAGCAAACCCCGCACCTTCCGCACCTTCACACCTACAGCCCTCAAGCTGCAACGAAGACGTTCAGCAAAACACGTTGCTGGCCAGTTTGGGTTCGGTACTGCCGCTTGAAGCATGGGCCAAGACAGAGATGGTTTGCAGTTTGCAGTGTCAGGCGGAACCATGCAAGCCGAAGGTGCAAGCCTCGCAAGAACGCTGCGCAGCTGCAGGCGCGCTGCCTGCAGCTCCTGGCCCCAAAGCTTCGACTCTCAAAAAGAAACACCAAACCACAACGACAGCCTGCGAGAAAACTCCGACCAAGAAATTAAGAGACACCAATTTCGTCACAACCGATCGAGTTTGGGGTGAAGCCAGCTGCGGTTGCTTCACATGCGTATCGCACAATGAAAATTGACATCAAACACCCTGTCCCGCTACACCCGATAGCCCTTGGCAGCTGAAGAAAGCTCATTCGCGCAAAAACAATCGAATAGTCTCACCCAATCGCATCATATCGCATCCATAAGCACCACTTGCGACCTGACCTAACGAACGCCCAGAGCTTTGTACGACCTGAACACTGAAACTGTACCCTTGTCTAAATCCAGCCAAAGCCAGAGGGCAAAGATAGAAAACTGTGAAAGCTGCGTGGGCCCATCCCCATCTGCTTCTGCCCAATCTGCTTCTACTGTTTCCGCTCTACATCCGCTGGAGCCTCGAGGGCACCAGCGAGACTTGCACCTGCAAGGCTCACAGGGCTTCACAAGGCTTCCAGATGTCAGAGAGAATCAGGGTTTTGTTCCAAGGTCTAGGGTTGCGATTCTTGACCTAGGAGTTCTGTGAATGTGTTTTGACAGGCTTTGAGAGTGCACAGGCATGTGCGGACGAAGTGACGCTGTGCTGCAGATTATTGCAGATGCCAGACACTTAAACAGGGGGATGGAAACTGAGCGGTCAAGAGCCCAAGCTCTGAAACCTTAACCTCCCTGCCAGGCTGAAGCTAAGTGTAAGGGGCCTTCCTTCCGGATTAGCCGGGTTAGAGCGGCAAGTGCCTGGGCCGGCAGCCATACGGTGACCTCGCCACTTGGTTTTACCCAGTCGGGGACCCCAGGGCGAGTTCTGTCACCAAAGCGTGCTGTCGAAGGCTATTGTCGCAACCCCAAACCCTAAACCCTAAACCCGAAATAAACCCTAAACCCTGAGCCCTAAGCCCTAAACCCTAAGCCTGAGTGACCGGCAATCCCCGACCCGGGACGGCAGTGACTGACAAGTGGTTTACCCTCAATTGCAACTCTCATCTCACTTGCATTGGCAAATCGGTCACGCAACGCAATGACACCCCTCGAGATGCAATTAACTGAGCCGAGAGCTTAGCAACAGGACGCTGAGCCATACGTGAAAAAGGCTTCACGACCCGGGCATCCATGTGTGAGCTGTCAGAAGTAGGGTCCCCTAGATCACTCCAAGATCACAGGCAATGCCAAGAACTGGAGCACTTGCAACACGATCTGGCAAAGCATCCGTGAGGCTACAGTACCTGTCTCTAACTGAGTGGATGGAAATCTCAGCTGGTGGTACCTGATACCTAATTTCTGAGTCCAGGTGTCATGTGTCCTCGGAACACACTTGATGCCTGAGATTCTGCAACAGATTCAACGATGCAGATGCCCAACATACCTTGGGGCCGGGACCAGACCCCGAGACCCAGGCAGATCACAAATTCTGGACTCTCAACCATTGGCTCAACAAGCGGCACTCAGGACTCAGTTAGCTCCCCACACAGGCACCAGAGAACATGCTGAGATCACTTTAGCAAGCTGTGGCCTAGAGAGCCCACAAACGACAGCTCCCCCGCGTAGCTGTAAACCAAAAGCTTCGTGGCTCACCGTAATGCCGCTCGTTGAGGCGCCATGAGTTGACAATGGGCCTCGACACGCGAGGGTTTGGCCGCGGGGCTCAGGATGCAGTAAGAGAGGTCTTCCACTACTACTCAACCGGGAGGCAGGGCTCAGGCAGAATACAATATCACCCTGTAGCGCCGTCGCGAACACGACTCCTATCAGCCAACATCGCGAGGTTCAGCCCCTCCTCCCCTCCCCCTCCCCGAATGTGTCTCCCGGCACCCCGTGGACATGCGCAAGTGATGAATCATGGCTTACATGATTCTATGTTATACAGATTGCACGTGGTTCTCGATACCCTGAAAGAGCAAGGCTTTGGATTGTGCAAGCACGTACTTCCTCCCGAAACAACACAGATCCAGCTGAAGTTACTACAGTGACCTTTCAGGGCTTCCAGATCTTCCGTGCACATCCGCCTCTCGACCCTTCTGACACCCACATCCCAAATGACGAGGCAAAGTTGCAGAGTGACGTTGTCTGACTCCATCAGCGCAAGCCACCTCGGTGAAAGGTGGGCATTGAGTTCAGTCACACAAGGCAGTAGGAACTCTAAACTTTTGAGGGCTTCGGATGGTTCAAAACTGGCCAGGCTGCGCCGTGCAAACCGATCGGCGCAGCTTCGATGTGAACACGACATCGGGCTTCATGCCCTTCTCCTCGGGCTTTGCAGCTCAGGACCCTCAAAGGACATAGGTCATGACCTTCCCAGTTGCTTCTTCAGGCGACTTGGCTCTGAAGGATTGACTCCCTGCTCATGTGACCAAAAAAAGTCCAACAGCTTGTTGGCATTGAATTTCGTTTAGAGCACACATGATGATGACGTGAAACCCCTACAAAGCATTTCGCAAAACCTCGATCTCAGAAGCATGAGTTGCTGAGACGAGCCTTGAGGCACTTCCCAGCATCTGTCGCAGCTGCTTTGCCGGCATCTGTTAGGTCCACATCCATCCAACCTCCCACAGAAAATCTGCAGGTGCTTTGAAGCTTCAGGAATCACGAGGGCAGACATGTGTTGAGTTCACTTCATCATGCCGTTCGACAGAGACCAAAAACGCAAAAATCTCCGCAGCCTTGTTCTCTCCAATTTTTGAGGGGGAAGGGGAGCAAAACTGCGAGAGGCCCAGGAAGCAAGTCTCGATGACTTGTTAAAGCATCTTCTGCGTGCTTCTCTTGCGCCGTAAATCCTGCAAAAGGTCCCGGACTCTGTATTCCTCAAGTATTCCTCCACAGGCCGAACCCTAAACTTCTGAAACTGCAAATACCCTACAACGTGTTTTGGAGCTTTGGCATTCAGGGGACTTTGTCATCCCGGCGGGCCTGCGAAGTTCTTTTCTGCCTCAGCTTGCAAAGAACACGGGAAGGGCTTCTTACACCAAAAACCCAACACACAAACTTCCGCAACGGTGGGCAAGGAACAATCTTGGCGCAAGTGGCAACTCCCCATCATTTTTAACATCTGTTCAACCATTTGCCTCCATCGCTTTCATCGACTTCCTGCTTGCTCCAGGCTTGGAGAAGCAGCAGACGCGCAGCGCGACCGGCTGCAACGAATTACATCAGGGAGCACTTGCTCCTGACCTAAACACACGACCAAGCTGTGATTCACAACTAGGAAGTGTTCACCCAAACGAATTGGCAGACAAGTGTGCATCTTTCCGAGTACCCTTGTCCAAGCTCACATATAAAGAGCAGTCCTACTGATTGCTGCTGCTGCCGCCCATAATTTCCGGAGGAGCCGCAGGATGAGTAAACATGCGTTGCTGTCATCAACGCTGTCTCTACTGCTCTTGCTACGGGTATCCTTTGATGCCTACCTTGTCAAGGAACATGCTTTATTCTCAGCTAGGCAGCAGAGACACATGCCTAAAAGTCTTAAACTCTAACCACTCTTCTAACCACTCTTCTAACCACTGTTCTAACCACTGTTCTAACATCTCTATCCCACAGTAGCTCTGACTCTGAAGGGCGCCGAGTTCATGCTGAGGTTCACCTGAGTTCAGGCTGAGTTCAGGCTGAGTTCAGAGCTTGAAGGCAAAGGAGAGGCCAGATCTGAGAGTCTGAGGAGCCGCAGCATCGTGCAGAGAACTATCAAGGCCCGAAAAGACGACCCAAGATGGCCGGTCCCATCCGATCCCACTTCTCTCAAAGTCTCACCTCCATGACAAGCCAAGCCGCCTCACCAAAAGGTCTGCGCACACGCACCGGTGCCTCCTTCTCAGGCAGCGGGGCGGATCCATCCTCGATGATCTCCTGAAGCTGCCCCCAAGTTAAATCAGAGGAAGTTGCGTGGGCAGCTTGTCCAAGCTCAATTGACATGTTATGGCATGTTGAGGCTGATAGAGAGCTGCTCTCCTTGTTTTCAACTCAGGGTGACCGGTGACCCGTCCAATGAATAACATACCTAACCCCACTGTCCCCTGCGGGCCTTGTTCGTGGGACCCGTGGGATATTTCTGCACCACAACCTCTGAGGGCAATCCCAGCGCTTGAGAAATCAACATTGCAACATGCAGCGGCAGTTGCAGCGGCACACATCTTGAGGAACTAACAGAACTTCTGAGAAGAAGGACAAGCGAACTTCAAGCGTGCCATCCCGCATTCGCACCTTCCCCAAGCGGACAGAACGGGGACTGCGATTCTCGCGCAGCCGGCTGGGCTGTAAGCCTCCTCGCGGATGACGGGACTTGGGCTGTGTAGGACGATGGTGATGATGTTGGTGCTCGAGGCTTTTCATGCTTCTTGCATGTTACAGAAGGGATCCAAGGGTAGGCACGGGATGACTGTAGTGGTGAAGTGGGCCAGTGGCTTGGAGCAGAAAGCCTATCCGACCCCCAACCCACCCACGACCCCCGCTGCTACCTGTGCCAGGCTCGATCAGCTTCGTCTTCTCCTCCATGACCATGTCCTGCAGAGTTGGGCCCACTGCAGGACATGCCGCACAAAAACTGCACCTCTTCCAACATGAGCAACCCCCGTCAGATTCTCTGATGCTCAGCCACGCACTGTCCTTGCAGACAGGCATGGGTAGCAGCTTGGAGCTGGGCAGGCGCGGAACATCGCCTGCAAAATTGAGTTCTACAGACATGCACCAACACCAAAGCAAGGATCCACACAAGTGCAAGGTTGCGATTAGGCCTTCTTAACCTAGGCAAACACGCAGAAGCCTCAGAGCAGGCTTAGAAGAAGTAAGAGCGCAGGGGTCGAGCAAAACGCTGTCGAGCATCTTCGAGAGCGACGGAGCACTGTGGGCAAACCCTTGCCACATCTCGGGAGGAACTACCTCATAGAGCCATAGCACGGGCAGTGTGCGGAGCTGCAAGCAAGTCTGGGGAGCACAAAACAGGTATACCCCACCCCTAAATTAAACCAAGTCCCCGTGGGCCACTCTAAATCCCGCCTTCGGCACTCACTCGCCAACCCTCCAAGGAGCTAGCCTTTCTTTCCGCCCCGTCGCCCTGTATTGCTCCTGCATTTGCCCCCCTGCCGCTGCTGTGGCCATCGACCACGGGCGAGGCGGATATTTACAAAGCCAAATCTCATTACAAAGACACTTGCGTGCTCTCGGAAATACTTAAATTCAAAAACAGCTCAAGCGCCCATTTCGCAAAAATCGAGGGAAAGCTCAATCCCGAAAGTTTCGCATCAACTCCAAGGTGTTCGCCACATGCTTGGCAGTCACGTGTTAAACCTGAAATACAAAATTAGAAGCTTTCGAACATGTTCGCTAAATGTCGAGAAAACAAAACAAAGTGCACACCAGATCCACACACGAAAATCTGAAGATTCACCAAGGAAAAACGAGTAGCTTCTGGAGCTGCGTTTGGTTGATCAGATTCGGCCCCGGGCAAAAGCTGCAAATCTGCAGTGGCGCGGGCGCGCCTCGGCCCTTGCCCTCGCGGCCCAAGGCTTTGAGCATGCCCCGGAGGAAGGCCGCCTGACTTAGACTTGCAAGGCTTCGACTGAGTTGACTATGCTGTTTAGGAGTTTTGTGTGGAGTTTGGGGGATGATGGGATAAGTGTTTGGTGGATCTTTGGCATTTTATGAGTTGCATTTGAAGGCCAAACTGAGAGTGGATCAGTTGGAATTGAGAGTTGGATCACAGGATACAGGGAGTTCCAAGCGCTCTATGGGGGGGGGGCATGACGGAGCCTGGCAGAGCCTCACATTGACGATTAGAAACAACAAAAAATCGCAACGTCAACATGCTAGTTGATATGTGCTGCCCCATATATTCAGCATAGTACCTATGTCGAATCACACTTTGTTTCCCAGCCGGTGCCTAACCTGAACGAAGCATTTTCTCACACGGCCCCGGTTCTTAGACTGAGGGCTCGGCCTCGTTTGCCAATTTGCTCAGGGACACGTCAAAGTCCTTCCACACATCCTCCAGGGCACATGTGACCCCTGATTCGGCAGATGTTGGTCTTCATCTCTTAAGGCTTTATATATCCTCTTAAAGGGGTAGCAAAAAACAAAAACACGCTCAGTTTTCAAGCCGGGTCATCAGCAACGGCACCGTAGTCCAAGGGCAGGCCGTCCCGGCACACGAAGGGCACGCAGTCCTCGCTTTGAGGTTCAACTGTCAGGAAGCCCCTTTTTTGCAGGAATGAGGTCAATGACTCCATGAGCCCCACAAAACACACAAGAGAATCCAAAAGGATCCGACAGGAGCTGTGAGGCCAAGGAGAACTCGGACCGGCCTTGCGCACCAAAGGCTCGGACTTCACGGGGCCGAACCGGCGGTCCTACCATGAATGGCAATGATGTCTCAGAAAAGGGGGGCGGGGAATGCTGAATGGCAATTTTTTATTGGGGGGCGGGGGGGGGGGGTTGTGGAACTAGGAGGTTCAGGATGTTCAAAGTCCCGGGTCCTCATTCTCGGGCCCTCGTTCCCCGGTACTCGTCTAGGGATGCAGGACTGACAATTCAGGTCCTCCACTTGTGTCGCTGGCTTCCAGCCCCAGCTAGTTGCGACCGGAGACTGGGGCAGTGGCCCCGGGCCCACTACCTTGGACCATGCTTATGCTTTGCAGCTGTTTATGCCCCTTTCATCGTGTCGATGTTTGCAATCAAACTGATGGCCTACATCACATTTTGCAGGGATGTCCTGTTGTCTTCGTCGGGTGCCTGCCTCGGTTCTTATCGTGCATTGCAAGGGTTTGTAAGGATCTATGCAGAAGACCTGCGCAAGGGACCTGTGTAGGGATCTCTGCATTTCGCACAATCTCCTGGGCATGTTGAGATAGTTGAGATAGCACAACTCCAACACTTAGAGTTTTCAAAGGATTTGGGGTGAGGGCCTGAACACAAATTCTACTGACTATTTGTAAAGCCGAACCCTGAACCACAAATGCAAAGGAAGCCAAAAAACGGCCGTTGCAGATGGCACTGCTGCCATCTTTGGAGACGAGGGCCTCAGCTGTGGCGCCACAGAGCTTGCAAGCTACGTTTGCCTGCTTAGCGTTTTCACATCACGGGACACCCAAGTCATGTGGAGCTGATCTGCACATGTTTGCTAGACATATTTCTACGTAGCGGCGACCATGCACGGTTCGGTGATGGAGCCCGGGAAGAGATCGGCGACGTCCTGAATGAGCAGTATCAGTGTCAACTACGAAGCCAGAAGATATTTCTGCAGTGGACTTTAGTGCCGAGCTCAACATCCAGCTGCTCGATACGCCAGTTCTGCGTGATCAAAGTTCACATCGCGAACTTAGAGGTACCTGGGATTGTCAAGAACACTACGAGTACGATGTGACACAAAGGTCATAAGTGCCGGTTAAACGTAGCAGAACACCCCCTGTCCTCACCCGATCTCCGGCCACCGAACTTCGTCTGCCACCAGAAAGTGTCCATGATTTCCTGGAGGAATTGAAAACCCGACAAGGCTGAGGATCTATCGAGGGTAAGGCAAGTCATAAACTACAGACCTGAAAATCCCCCAAACTGCATGGATCCCAGCCAAACGAAGTAAAACCTCCAAAGCAGAAGCCCAAAAGCTAAACATCACAAGCTCAGAGCCGTTTTACAAGCACCGTCCTGGCTGCGTTGCCTGGCTCAGGACTTCCATTGCGATTTCCAGCAAGGCCCGTCATCGGAAGCAGCTTCCAAGGCACACACCAGCTTGTTGCAGACAAGAAACCCATAATTCAGGGTAGTTCAAATACTTTCGTATCTTGACATTGTCTGGATGCTGCTTAAACTATCTTAAACTTCACCTTCGGCAAATCGTCTGAAGCCATGCGCTTCAAAATGCGACTGTTTTTGACAAGCTTTGAAAACCAGGAGGCCACATGGCAGCGAGGGTTGCAGGTTGTAAGGACGCAGCACGAGGACTCGTGAAGAGAACTGGACATGCCAAACTACACATCTTCACCGAATCACATGTTACAACGATAATTGGCGCACCCAACGCATTTCGAACTTGCACAAATTACAGCACGGCTGCAGCTCTGTCTTGTTGACAAGTTGCACTCCACTCGGTCTCGCCATGCCGCAGCAAAACCACCTTCCAGGCTGCGCTCGATCAACAACAACACGCATCGCCAGGTTCGGTCACATATCTTTTGACTGCTTGACTGGCATCCACCTTGCGCACCATTGCTGCCGCTGATTCGTGGAGCACCGATGAATAAGCACTTGATGCCCCCGTGCCGTGTTTACAATGCTCAGCATGTGGTTTGAACAGCGAATGCATCAGATTGACACTTGTGAACCGCGGAGCCACAACATTCAGCGGCGAATAGGAAAATGCAAACAGCACTGTTTTGAGATTGACAAAGATTGGCTACAGAGGGTCCATGTACGATTTTTAGAGGGCCCCACTAGGCCTCAATTCCAAAAACCAAAGCCTTAGCTGCCAAAAACAGGGCTTGTTCTCTTTTCGACAATCAGCCCACGCAGTCTTGAGTCTGACACACAAGAACCAGCGCACACGTGTACTTTGGCGTGCGGTGGAAAGCTTCCGGGCCCCAGGCATCCAGTGTCTAACGTGTCTAACTGCGGCTAGTTATGGTTGTCAGAGCACCTAGCTGGACAGAAACACCAGGGCGCCTGTGTCGCACACAATCTCTAACTCGGAAACTTCCAGACATGTTGGGAAGCACCCTTGAAAATGCTTCTCACGCAGACGTATGGAGCTGTGAAACTACGTGCATGCCCTGGACTGAATCGGGCTATTCCGGCAAAGTGAGAGCAGCAGGTGAGCCTAAAGACTGCTTCGCCGAGCTCGTAGAGCTTTGCTCGAGGTTGTTGGAACCACGGATGGCGGAACTTATGCTGCCTGAAGGCACTTCAGGCACTCACTTGATGACCTGTAGCAGAAAACCAGCAACAGCAAAAACCACTTAACACACCCAACGACATCCAGCACGAGCTCTGGTTCAGGCTGAGCTGGCAACCTTCAAACGAGAACCTCGTCATCGTGGACATGTGGCACCTCGACTCAATCACATCATCAGGAGGTCTTCTTACAAGCACGTCACCATAACTCACCTGAGAGATCGGCACAGCACCAGCTGTACCAGCCACCTGTCCAATCATCAGCAACATTCCTGGCCTCAGCAGGGATGTGGAGGGAGATGCAAGGTCCAGAGGTGTCAGAAAAGGAAGGAAATCCTCAGCCAGTTCTTCCCACCTGCAGGCACCAAGGACACGACCCAGGACACAACGGTGCGCACCACGGCGGCCTTCACAGTCACAACAACAGTTGAGGCCACAAGATAGGGAACAACGCACAGGAGAGGATCACACTGAAAGCGAAAATACCAAAGGTGGGCCTTGCGCCGCTCATGACGCTCATGCCAGGCCAGCCGCTCCTTAAGTCTGGCGATTCTGGCCTGGTTTTCCTGCAGTGAGGAATTTCCGTTTCATATGAAGATCAGCAAGCAAGGCACAAAGGTTCCCCAGCCTTGAGGTGCCCAAACTTCTTCTCAAAGGCCAGCAGCTGTGCCCGGATGTCTCTGAGGCGCTGCGATGTCATGGCAACGAGGCAACCCAAGCTGGCTCCTAGTTTCTTGTTTGTGGTATTCCACTCAAGATCCCGATGCTCGCTTCTGAAGCCCGCTCCTCTGGCGGCGGGAGCCAAAGGTTGCACACGTGCCGTGGTCGTTTCCTGCTTGTACCGCTTGTGTGTCCTCTCTCAAGTTTCAAAACCACGGACTCTCGTGATAGCAGTGTTACCCTTGCTTTGTGTGCATTCTGCGGAAAGATCTAGACAACGCACTGAACTGGTTTACATATCCCTTCGAGCCGATATCGTCCTCCGCACTGGGAATTACCTCTGCCAGCATCTTGAGGTTCAGCAAAGCTTGTTTGAAGTTGTGCATCTTGATGACCTTGCATGGTGACTTTGCTGAGCATCCCCCTGGTGGTCACTGTTTAGCAGCGTTCTTCAGCACAGCGACGCTGTGTTAAAGCACTCTTCTACCTTCATTTTCTTCGCCTTGCCGTGACCACAACCCCTGCAAGCCTCATCCTTTCTTCGAGGAGTTTGCCGCGAAATCGTTACTCCCTTACTACGGTGTCCTTTCCGGCGTGTTGGCCCCTCCCACTTTGCACCAGCACTCGTTTGCATTGCCAGATAACATGACCTCATTGATTGTCGTTTGCATGTCGTTCACCGTCGCGCTTGATGAATCCGGACTTGCAGTGTGCTCCCTTTGACGTGGCCTTGCATGTTCTGGGTTTTTTGGACTTTACATGCACTTCAATGGTGGTATGGTCTGGTCGGTGTACGTTCTTCCCACTCGCTCCTCTCCCTTCCTCTTCCCCTTCTAAGAAAATAGCAAAGAAAGGTGGACAAGCTAGTAGAGCAGAAAAAAGGAAATGAAGAACTCTTCATTCGGTTTTTCCTGCTTGTCATTGTCTTTCTCATTCGTTGATTGTTTCTTTCCTTTCTCTCTTTCCTTCTTTCTTTCATTTTTCCTTCTTTCTCGGTGCCCACTGGCCGAAACCCCTGCGCGGCTCGCGTGCCCCGATGTTCGATCTCTCGCTTCCTCTTCTCGTTTGATCTTTGTGTTCAAAGAAAAGCACCTTTGTGTTCAATGAACACAAAGAAAATCAGAGGGAGAAGGAACCCATCCTTTGCTTTTTCCGGCAGGCGGCTATGGCTTCGGGCACGACTTATTCAATTTGCTTCTTCTCGTTTTTCTGCTTTCTCCTGAGTGTGAAGGTGACAATGGGAAAAGGAGTTTGGGTGAAAAAGATTGATCACCTCGAACTTGAGGCTTGATGTGCGGGCTGTTCCCGATTCTAACCCCGCTGAGATTACAGGGCCTGCTATCAATGTCCCAACCGTTTGTTGACCTTCTTCAACTTTGGAATCATACCCACTGACGCAGGGCAAACACGCAACTTCTGTGCCTTGTCTCAGCAATCCACTCCACACCCTACACCCTCCTCCAAGTTCGCAAGCAATCACAAATCACACGACTGTGCCAACAAGGTGGGTCGATGGCCGATCTTGACAAAACTCAGCACTAAACCCCTGGACCCACAAACCTTTGCAGCTTCAACCCGTGTATCGAATCTTACACCCATAAAATCGCACTTTCCTGACCGCAATCTCTTGTTTGCAGTCTTTGTGCTGGTCACCAAACAAAAACACACAACCAGAAGCAAACACGTGCCTAGTGCCTACCACAAAATACCGTTTTCACAACAAATTTTGCAATTTTACCACTTGAAACTATTATGCGACACAAGCAAGCATGATCCCCAACAATCGCTCTCGTGCATGCCCCCACCAAGCATGGCATGATGACGCACGCCTCACCTTACTTCGCAGCGCTCCCTGAGTGAGCACTTCACAAGCGTGAGGAAGACCTGGGCCCACGAATCCTGGCCGTAGAATTGACCAGTCACATCTTCTTGCACGCACATTTTGTGGACCCGATGGTGCACTCGCACACTTACACATGCCACATGATGCCCTCCTAGCGGGACTGCATGTTGTCGACTCTGCAATCGGTGTCAGTGCTGAAATCTCTTGCTCGACTGCACCATCATCTCAGGAACTTGTGCAACAGGACGTGGTCTGTAATCTAGCACAACAGAAGCTGAAGTTATAGTTTAGGTTCACTACCCGCACTAGTCCGTTACGAATGTCCAGTGTGTGACTCGAAAAGGAAGAACCGCACGCGCTCCCATCTTTTCCAAGCTGGCGGAAGAATCCCTGGCGGTGCTTCGGTTGGTCAGCCTGCGGGCAGAAGCACCCGGGCAGGAAAAGCGGAAAGAATGCTGGTCGAGAGCACCAGCATGATGTGAAAAACAACTAGACCTCAGATGGAATGTACAGTACCCCAGAAGTCTACGGAGCTACAGCGTAGAGAGGTTCCTTCCGACACCGGCACGAATGGACACTTTGGACCAATCGGACCGGAGGGAGGCAGCGAAGAAACTTCGTGCGGCAAGGAAGACAGAGGCAGGTTGGAGGGGAGGCGGCGGAAGTTCAAACTGAATCCGAACGGACTAGCGTAGCATATCCGCCTGTCGAGCCAGCAGCTGCGCAGCAGGCGGGAAGGGAGTCTACAGGCGGGACATGCTATGCCGTTGCGTGCGGGCAGCAAACACACTTGTACAAGTACATCCACGTTCACTACCCGCACTAGTCCGTTACGAATGTCCAGTGTGTGACTCGAAAAGGAAGAACCGCACGCGCTCCCATCTTTTCCAAGCTGGCGGAAGAATCCCTGGCGGTGCTTCGGTTGGTCAGCCTGCGGGCAGAAGCACCCGGGCAGGAAAAGCGGAAAGAATGCTGGTCGAGAGCACCAAATATTTCAGGCGGCACGCTTGACCCGACAGGGGGACTAGGGCCAGCATTCTTCAAGCAGACGCCAACCAGCTGGAAAGATCTAGCTCCAAAGGGTATGTGTGGCAGGCAAAGGATGAAGGCAGGGCAGACCAGGGAATTTGGCAGCGTGCCGAAGGAGGGAAACCCAAAAGCTGAGGATCATAGCCGCGACTCAAACCATCAGCGAGGTCATTTCGAAACCCCGGGACATGGTCTATGTGGACGGATATGTACTGCCGCTCCTGCAGAAGGAAGAATGAACGCAGTAGAGCGCACATGCCTGTCGCAAGGGAGAGACCCTTCCAGGATGCGGCATCCGTAGCGGAATTGTCACAGCGAAATGTGACATGCAGAGGCGGATGTCCAGCAGGCAACAAGCAGGCCAAAAGATGCAGCAAGGCGCACTGAGCAAGAAGTTCCCAGGCTGCAATGTAGTGTTGAGGTGAGTGATCAGGAGGGAACCACGAAAATAGGGCGTGAAGTTCCGCCTGTGAGAACTTAGCCTGGAAGAAGAGAGTTTGGCCTGATGGCAGGCGGACAAACCCTCCCAACCCTGCAGAGGAATCGCTCGCACACGCGTCAGCAAATGCCTCACAATTAAAGTGCGGAGACAGCATGAGAGATCTGAAGTCCGTACCGGAACGGCAGAGCTGGAGCCACATATCCATAACTGCACGTGAAGCGTCAGAAATGACACGATCGGGGTGCGCAAGATCGGAGATTTGGACCCATAACCGGCGTGCGGAAGGAGGAAACTGTGGCAACTCCTCTTTGGATTGCACGGCGGTTTGAGCCACCCGAAATAAGCGGCTGCCCAGGGGGGCAGAGGCAAGACCCGACGGCGCAATGACCCGGAGGTCATTGGAAAGAGCAGCTTGCAGGCGCTGCCAAGCCTGCGTAGAAAGGGGCACATGTACAAGTGGAGGGCAGTATTGGTCCTGGTACAGGGGAGCCAAAGACGGTCGAAACGCCCGGAAAAGGTTAGAAAGCCAAAGCAGCTTGCCGGTAAGCTTTTCCAAGGTAGTGGCGGGCAGCTTCGCAGAGCGGTAGCATTGGCGGAGCAGAGACAACAACCGCTGAAGTTTGGCAGGCTCCAACCTGACTGTGAAAGTGCGAAAATCCATCTGCCAGCCTATCCAGACAACGGAGGCAGACAGTTTGGCTTTGTGCCAACTCATCGGCACATTTAGAATTTGGAGCAAAACGACCAGCAGCGCAGCAAGCAGCGGGGCAGAGGATTTTTCGAGAATGGAAAGCAGATCGTCCACGTAAATCATGGCAGAATGACTGACCCACCAAAACCGGTGAACAAGGCGGACCAGCAAACCTGCGACGCGGGCCCAGTAAAAACCGGAGGCGCGTGCGCCGAAGTTCAAAGTTTTGCACTGGTATAGGCGGCCACGATGGCGGAAGCAGAGAAGGCCTTGATCTGCGGGCAAAATCTTGATGCGGCGGTGTGCCTTGCTAACATCCAGGACCAGAGCCACGAGGCGCTCACGGGCATCAGAGATCGGAAGGCAGCGGCGGACATCTAACAATGTGGGGTTTGCGGACCGATTGGGCAAGTGCGTGGCGTTAGTAACTCCTGATATGGAGCTATCAACGACAAGTCGTGGCGGGCGGCCCTCAGAGAGAACTACCCCCAGTTTGCCGACGGCGGAGTGCTTGTATAGCCGCTTCAGCTCGTCATCCCCCCCCGTAACCTCGCAAATCCAGCCAGCGTCCAGCTCTTCCTGTAGCAGTTTGTCGACAATTTCAGCATTGTCAAGCGCTGGCTTCCAGGCGGATTCGCAGTGGCACAACTCGGCGTCAGCTGGGGGGGAGGCATGTGAGGCTTGCAAGAGCGGGCATGGGGGAATGGCGTCAGAGAAACCAAGCGGCACGCCAGCGTGTAAGTGAGGGAACAAACCAGCGTCAGCATCCTTAAATATAAGACTAAGGGTATGCCACAGAGACAACCGAAAGGGCTGGCCTTCGTCTATGGAAAGCAAGGCGGTCCAGGTGTCAGCTTGGCGGACTTGCAAAAATTCACGCAGATCATGGAAGAACGGGGCTAGCTCAGCTTCAGAAATGGGGGCGGACTTAGACCCGGAAGAGAGTGCGGTTACTATTTTAGGAACCAAACCGGAACTTAAAAGGCGGGCAGACCAAGCGTGCCGTAAGGCCTTAAAGTGGTCTTCACTCTGGGGATGAGTGTGGCATGCGGTGCTGCCCATGCCAGCCCCATCCTCCACCGGAAACGGATATGGCGGCCAGGGCAGGCGCGGCGGCAGAAGGGCGACCCATGTGGAGATCGTGTATTCACGGTCTTCTATGGACACAAACGGGACGCAGAGGGATGCAATGGCACTAGCCAGGGAGGGCGGGTAGCACGCCGTCGCTCGAGTCAAGAACATGCCATCCGCGGACCGTTGTGCAGACAGAGGACGGTGGTAGCCGGGCAAGTGCGGGCATGCAACCGCAAGAGCTGCAACCGAAGGCCGGTTACACCAAAAAAGCCAGGCTTTCTTATAGTCCAGACCATGTGCACAGCAGGCAACGGAAGCACCAAAGGGAGCAAATGCACGAACCCAGGCCATGACCTCGGGGTCGAGCCAGAGCAGGCTAGAGGCCGGATTTTCCAGAAATATCAAGCCCCCGCGCGCGGCCACAAGGGACAGCAAATGACGTGTGCGTTGGTGCAAGAGTGCGGACATGTGAAGCTCGCGTTGCTGCTGCGCAGACAAGTTAGGCAGGCCCAATGGGAATGATGGTGTGCGCACCGGAGGAGGGCCGGACTTCATGAGGCGTGCGCGTGAATAAGCTGAGCATGGAGGTGCGGCACAACAGGCACCCACAAGCCCGGAAGCACAAAGCCGACAGAGTGTGGAATACGTGGCATCGTCAGAAACATCTAAAGCGGACCCCGCGAGAAGATCCACCGGCTCAAAACGTGCAAGAAGCAATGTGCGGATGGCATTGCAAACAGGGGCCGAGGAGCCTGAAAATAGGTCCAAAAACATGCGAACGGCTGGAATAGGGCCGTGGTGACCCGAGGAGCAGTCATGGGGCAAGCTTGCAGAGGGCGAAGGGCTGAAAAGGCCGGAAGCCGGTTGCTCACGGGTGCAAGGCTTGGGGCAGAAGCCGGTTGCTCACAGACGCTCGGGGCGACCGAACGTGCCGGCACATGTGATGGCAGAGAGAAGGTGTTGTGCTGGGCAGGGAACCCATTCGGTGACACCGGTTGCTCACAAACGCCCGGCGGTGCGGGGCGTGCCCGGGCCTTTGCGCAAGTGGGGCCGTGATTAGCAGTCACGAATTGAGGGTGCGTGGCCAGGCCAGATTGCTCCTGGCCGGACGCGGGGGCCGCGGGCGGGAAAGCAGCTTGACACGGACGAGGCAGTGAAGTCAGGCACGCGGCAGGAGCGCGTACGTCCGGTGCGGGCAAGGCAGACGCGGGTTCCGCAGCGGGGCTGCTTGTCCCAGGCAGGGAGAGGGGGGCAGCAGGGGCTGCTATGCTGCCAGACTCGGTATCGGAGTCAGAGGACACGAGCAAAGGGTTGCCCGAACCGGAGGATAGTCAATGCGCGGTGTTTTTATGCTCAGCAACGGTGTGCTTCTGCCCACAGGGCTTGCCGGACGGCAAGGGAAGCGGGCAGAGGTGAGCATAGCGGCAGTTAGGGTTCGAACACTTGCCCAGAGCGTATCGCTTGCACAACTCACGTTTGCCAATCTTGTGGAACCAAGCGGCATCGAAGCCGGGCACAGAAGAGGAGGCATCGGACCTGTCTTTCCCGCGGCCCCGACCTTTGGATTTTGGCGCATGCTTGCGAGCCTCGTCGTTGCGGGCAGAGCGGGAACGGTCCGGGCGGCGGTTGTTAGGGGCACGGGGGTTAGGGGCGTTAGGGTCCGCGTGTGCTTTGGATGTACGCGGACGCGGCTGCAGGAGGGCAGAGATGTCCTGGCGGCAAGTGGAGATCTCGTTGAGCGCGTCCTCTAGCGACCAACTATGGTCTCGAACCAATTCATGCACGGATATCCACACGGCGCGGTCTGCGGCCAATATCTCATTCAATGTCGGCGGTCGGAGCGACGGGTCAAGCGGAACCGCCAGGGCAGTAGATATGAACTTCTCCGTGAAGCGCTTGATGGTGATCAAGTGAGTGATCTTTGTCATCGCCAAGGCAGTAGCGAAGAGGGAGAGGTTGCGGCGAAGCACAGATTCCAGCGGGCCGTTGAGACCGGCGGCGGAGGTAGGAGCGGGCGCTTCAAACTCGTCTGACAGTAAGGCGCGAAGAAGTTGGCCATCCGAGCGCGGCCGGCGGGATTCTGACCAGGCGGCGCGGTCGGCTTCCGATGCACGTTGACGCCACGGCAGCCAGGGAGAACAGGCGGAGTCATGTAAATGCTTTATGGCGGCACACATTTCCAAGCACGGCGTGGTAGCAGAGTTAAGGAGCTCTCCGGGGTAGGCCGCCATGAAGTCCGTGCGGAGCTGAGAAAGTTCTGCCGTGGACAGTTTAGGCACGGCCGGCTGCGACGGCATAGGGGCAGAAGGAGCCGCGGAGGTGGCGGCAGGCAGGCTGGGCGGCACACCAGGCAGAAGCAATCTCGCCTCCATGAGGAGGCGGCGAACGGCCGAGCAAGCTGGAGTGGTTAGCTCCGTAGGTGCGGGAAGAGACAGAAGGCTGCGTAGCAGCTGGGGCTCGTCGGCGACGTCGGGGGCCGCGAAGACGAGCGCAGACAGGGTGTTGTACCCGGCGGACTTGAGCTTTGCAGCCAGATCGTCGGGCGCCGAGTACTGCGTCAAGAGAGCCTCCAACACGGCCGGGTCGTCCAAGCGTGGGCGATGGGCCATGGCACCTGGCAAGGAGGGACTACAATAACCCCTTTAAGGAGACTAATCGCATGCATGGAGACTAGAACGGCTACGGGCAAGAAAGCAGGAGCAAAGAAGCACATGCATTATCCAACGCCCAAGCTGAGGACAAGCCAGCAGCAAGTGCATGCCCAGCGGTCGCGTTTTGCCGCAGACACGGTGGGTGCGAAAAGGGCGTAGCCCGAGCCAAGCGAGGCAGCGGACTGTAACTGAAACAGATCCAAAATTAAACAGATTAAACAACAAACCCGCAGTAAGTAAGAAAAGACACAACAGTAACACTTCACAGTCCACAAACACGGGCATACACTAACGGTTCTGTTCGGATCAGGCCGGTGGCTCAGGGGACGGCTCAGAAGCATCCGGGCCGGGCGCCGGCGTTGGCAGCAGCGGTGCACCATGGTAGCGTCCACCTTGACGGCGTCGAGGGTGGTGGCGGATGACGCCAGGCATGTCCCAATGCGGATTGAAAGCTTCGGCAGCCCGTCGGGCGGCATGGCAAGCGCCACAGAAATGGTCTCGGTGAGGGCGAGGGCGATTCAGCATGGGGCGACCACAGAAATTCCCGCAGAGGTTGGGGCAGAGTTGCTGGCAGTAGCCTCGGCATGGCCGGCGTCACGGTTTTGGAGCAAGATACGCAGGCGGACAATCACTCGGTGGTCCAAGCGTGCGAGCCAAGTCGACAGCTGGGCATCGGACCACGAAGGGTCGGGAAAGGGTGCAAACGGAGGCACAGGCTGGTACGCATGGTCAAGCGGCGGGGAAGTGCGGTGATTGGAGACCGGCGCAGCATGAGAATGAGCGGGCACATCCTCCGCAGGCACAGGCAGCTGCACGCGGCGGCGTTCCGTGCGGACGGAGAAGACGGACTTGTCAGGGTCCACTGTGGGCGGCAGGGACTCCATGGCGCAAGGAGGCTAGCGGAGAGCTGGGCGAACTTGAGCAGCACCTGGCGCAGGAGCGGGGGGGTTAGGGCTAGGGGACCGAAAGGGGGGAGGGTGCCTATGAAACTAAACCCAACCCGAGCAACCCAGAACAGTGCAAGCAGGCAGAGCGCAGCGGTAGTGGCATTTTTGCGGCGTCAGGAAGGCTAATCCAAGGCGTCGAAGCGTTTGGCGCATGCCGTACGGAGGCACAAGGTGCAGGCCGGCGGGGGCGACTCAACCACGCTGGCTTGATCGAGCTTGTCTGTTTGAGCACCGCACGCCGGGCGGAGCCAGCACAAGTGAGCAGGAAACCAAAGCGCGCGTGGGGCATTGGGGTCACACGGGGACGCGGCATGCGTCACGTTGCTGCGCGAATTGTAAAGCAAGAGAGCGGGTGAGGCGGAAGGCGAGGGAGGTTGCAGCGCTGCAGCGCTTTCCACTTCCAGCGCCTCAGGGTCAGAGGGCGGCTCCGAGCAGACCGACCCACAATCATTCTCTGAAGAGCAACTAGAGACCGGAGGAGTAGGGGCTCTCTCGTAGTCCGGCAAAAGGTCGGGCAAGACCGGCGGGTCAGGGTCATGTGAGAGCGGAGCACATGGTATGTCGGCTTCCACTGAGACCTCGGATATGCCGGCATCATGGTGTAGACTCGAGGGTTCGAGCATGTCATCGGCAGGCTGTGCAGAGGGCGGGCCAGGCCTTGTCGCGGACCAGCGGACTCGAGGTAAGGCAGAAGAAGAAGGCAGGTCAACTGGAAAGTCTGGCAGCGGATGAACGCAACCGCGGGCCAGTGGCTGTAATGGACGAAACCCGGCACGTATGCAGGAAATCACCGTGCGTTGACAACAGAGCATCGGGCCGATATCGTCGCGGCTGTAGAGCGCCACGGATTTATCAGAACCCGATAACCGGTGATGCCCTTGAATGCGCCTGGGCTCGGCCGGCATATCCAGCTGGCGGGCCCAGGACAGTATGGTGGTCTTGGCGGAATGAGCGGCAATCAAGTTAAACGCAGAAGGCAACGGCTCAGTGCTGTGTAGGTTCCAGTGATGGCAGAGCAGGCTGCGGATCCACGGCACTGCCTGGTCGCGATACAGCGGCTTTATGATGGTTGGGTGACTATGGTCCGATGAGAGGATGGCAGGCAGAAAATCGATCACGCGTTGCGGATGCAGGGCAGCGGTGTCGGCCAGAACTTGCTTGACAACGGACAGCCAGCGGGTTGTCCAGGAAGCAGCAGCGGAACCGAGCAGACCGGGGGAGTAAATGCCCCAAGGCATTCCCGACTTAGTCGTCTTGGTGCGGATACAAATGCCCACCAGTGCACAAGAGGGGGCCTGAAAATGCAAGCGGGCCGGCGGAATCCAAAGGAGGTCGCCCCAACGAAGGGAGGCCCAGATTGCTGCAAGCAAGACTCCCAACATGAAAATCTCTGCAGGCGGAGTGTCTGGGCACAGAACGCGGGCCTCCAACCAAGCCGTAAAGCTCAAGGAGAACGGAAGGCTCTCTCGGTGTTCGACTGGGGCTGACGGTGACAAAAAAGCACGGATAATAGCACTCTCCAGCTGGCGGCGCAGCAGTGGAAGGCCGGCCTTTTTGGAAACCCAGGAGAGGGCCTTGAAAGGCATAGTGGCTAGACCTTGGGTGCTGCAGCGAGCACGTAGCCAGTCGGGCAACACACCAGGCTGCGGGTCGTAAGTAGAAGATCTGCGGATTTCGCAGTACAGGCACCAGGCGGACCACATGTCCAGGTAACGCTGCAGAGTGGAAGGCGCATGTGTCATGACGACACGACAGATGAAAAACTCCGGATCGGAGGACGCGGAGGCTTCGACAAACAGTGCAGACACCCCGGCCAGAATGGTGACACAGGACAGCCAGCGTGCAACGAGCTTGTCACGAGCAGACTCGAACGCACATATGATTGAGGACTGTGTTGCAACGGAGCCTCGGGCGTCATGGGAAAGTGGAGCGGTGAGATTGCGGATGTATGGGGCCGGCTGGACACAGGACGTCCCAGCAGCCACCACGGGCGCAGGCAACGGCCGAGCTGGTCGCTTGTGTGCAAGCAACTTAGGTGCAGGGAGCGGTTGGATTAGGGTATGGGCCGGGGCGCGAAATGCACGCTTAGGCGGGTTAGGGATTAGGGGCTTAGGGGGTGCAGCCGAAGAACGCAGGTCCGGCGGCCGGTATGCAGGATTCAGAGCGCCATCAAGCCAACGCGGCATATTGCGGGATAGCGTGACTGCTTGCGGGGGTGCCAGGTGAATTGAACCGGACACAATGGAAAAGGAGCCCGGTGATCCGGATGACAAAGGAGGCGGCTTGGGCACGGATTTCGGTGTTGCAAGCACTGACACTGGAGATGAAGGCGGGGCTCGGTATGTGCGACGCAGGCAGGGACGCCAGGTCATCAGACAACGGATGCGGTGTTGGAACAGGCAGTGTGCAAGCAGGCTGCAAGTGGCCACTCACAGAGGAAGCCAGCAAAGGGGCAGTGTCCTGATGGTCGTCAGAATCTGCAGCAACGGGCGCCTCAAACGGCGTATGAAGAGGCAGTGCAGAAGCAGGCATTGCGCCGTTGGCACACGCAAGAGTGCATTGGTCAGGCCGAAGGGGGTCAAGTGAGGCTGCATGGGTGTCCGAAGGTGGGTGCACGTCAGAAGCGGAAGCACCAACGGACAGTAGAGGGGAAGGCTCGGCGTGGGGGGGGTCCGAAGGTGGGTGCACGGAGGACAGGGAAGCACCAACGGACGAGACCGGGGGCACAACAAGAACGGGCTCCGGAGGAGCTATGCAAGGAACCTGAAGCGCAAGCGTGCACTCGGAATCAGGTACGGGCACAACGGGGCACACAGAATCATGCTCGTCCATGGCCACGGTGATGTCCTCGATGTGCGTGCGGCCAGCAACAAGTGCGTGTAGCCTGCCTGAGTCAGCGGACAGCAGGCGTAGCACAGAGGAAGCACGCAGCGGCAAAACAACCGAGCGCGGCACAGAACTGGGCGTACGCCGCACCAGACGTGCAAGCCTGAGTCAGCGGACAGCAGGCATACAGAAAGATACAGCGGCTGTAGGAAGGTAAGCCGAGTATCCCGCAAACTGGACGTACACCGTTCCAGCGGCGGAGGGCCTGAGTCAGCGGACAGCAGGCAGGCACAGCGACACACTATAAGGTATAGCGGCCGAGTACCGCACAGACTGGACGACCGTTCCAGTAGTGCAAGTTCGCGACTGCAGCGGCAGACGGAACAGGCTCCCTTGCAGCGGCAACAGGAACCGATTCAGCACCAGCGAGAGCTAGGTGAGAATCAGAAGTCGGGCAGACTGAAGGCCGGACTTAAGCTGTCAGTGAGTGCGACTCAGCAGAACAGGCAAGCCATGGCTCAGGCGGAAATATACTAGCGTTCAAGGTTCGAGGTCCAAAGCCCAAAGTTCAAACTGAATCCGAACGGACTAGCGTAGCATATCCGCCTGTCGAGCCAGCAGCTGCGCAGCAGGCGGGAAGGGAGTCTACAGGCGGGACATGCTATGCCGTTGCGTGCGGGCAGCAAACACACTTGTACAAGTACATCCACGGCTCAGGGTTTAGAGAGCTACGGTTTAGAGCATACCGCCCAAAGCCCTTAGATAGAGTTCCAAGACCCTAACTAAGGGTCCAACCTGCCGGTCCCATCCTCGACCCCTGAGATTTTGAGCCCCAAATCTTTCAAAAGCAGAAGTACAGTAAGCCGCACATCCCACACCCTGACCAGAAGCTCATGAAAGACCCGGCATTTCACCATGGACATGACCTTCAACAGCTCCCCCCATGGCCAAATCCCAAAAGCCCAGGTTTCAGGCCGTTCCGACTCCGAGTTCTAGGGTTTCACGGATAATGCTTCGGGGTCTACGGTCAAGTGTTCACAATTAGAAATCGATCTAGGTTGTACGTAGGGTGTAATTGGATTTCGCAGTGTCATCAGGATTTTTCAGCGCTGATAAGCCGCTCGCCGCGAAATGCGGCGTGGCCAAATAGCTTTTAGAGCCTCCAAAACTGCTCGCAATGGCAAGTGCGCCATCGTCTCGGAATTCAGAGAGGCAACAATTCGGATCGAATGACCCCAAAACCTTGAACAGAAAAATCCCGCCTTGCTGCCCTGTACATTTTGCAATGCCCAGAACCTTAGTATTGCTTTAATGTCCATACGGGACATTCCTCTGAACCCCAAATCCGAAATCCTAAACCCGCAGCCCCGACTCCCCAAACCGTAAACCCAGAATCCTCCATCCGACGGTGACCCAGCAAGCAAACACAAAGGCGCAGCTCTTCATTTTCGTTTGCCACACCGTCTCGGGTCGTTTGAAAGGTGTAGCACAGTATAGACAGTATAGAGCATTGCTTTGCCACTGGTCAGGCCGGAACTCAAGCAGGAGCTTTCTGCTGGCTGATTGAGTCGTCGAGTGGACGTTCTGATGCCTCGCTGGCCTGGCTGGCTCGTTCCAGCAACTCCCGGCCCCCATGTCATGGCAAGCATAAGCCACCGTTTAATTGCGCCCAGCGCAGGTCAAAAGCTTTGCTCTGGCACCGCAAGTGCAACTCCATTGCAACTTTCGTGCGCTGCAGTGAGGATAGTTGACTGGCATCCTAAGCCCGACCTCGGTTCAGGCAAATCACTGTCCTCTTGGCGACGTGGGCGAACCACCCCCTGGTAGGAAACGCCCTATGGCGGGAAACACACTCCGCTTGGAAACGGCCCCTGAAGGGAAACGGCCCAAGATTGGAAACAGCCAATCCATTTTTGCAAAGTCGGAAACGCCTTCTGCTTGGAATCGGCCCTGTGTGGGAAACGCCAATTTGGGGCGTGGGGTGGACTTTCGGAGGTTGCATCTGCAACCGTGCCCAATATTGTAGGCGCGCTACTGACACTACACTCTGCGTGGAATCGACCCTACGTGGGAAAAGACACCTCGCGGGAAACGCCATCAAACAAACACTCTCACGAGGGCGACCTGGACATGAGCCTGCAACAAAAAAGCCCTTGACCCCGTCCCCCCAACCGACCCCTGCTAGCTCAGCACAGACATGCGCAGACGCCATCTGGCGAGCATGAAAGTGCTTCTCAGGATTTCTCTCAAGGAACGCCCAAGCCCCCACCCCCCCATACCCCAAAACCCCAATAAAGACAGCCTGAAACATCGACCGCCAGAAATGAACCGGAAAGTATGCCGAAAATGGAATAGGAAAAAAACCTGATTTCGTAGTGGTGTTTTTTCCTATTTCTACCTCCCCCCCCTTCTCAACATTGCAAAATAGAACAAAAGGAGCGCGTAGCTTTTTTCAGCTTCCGGCTTGCGCAGACGGCGTGACACAGAAGAACTGCAGAAGCTTGTGACGCCTAGGGACCCAAAATGATCTCCACATGTTCTGTGACGAGATCAACGTCCAAGACGTGCACCTTCGAAAAACTAGTTAGCAGAACTAGCGCTCCGACGTCGGCTGTGCACGTGCGTAATGGGGGCAGACGTCCCAGTCGCACGCGTCACACCTATAGGTGTCTGTCGTGCACTGGCGGGAGCAAATGTCACACGTGGCAGCAAGATGTGAAATTTGTTTGGCATTCAAAACGACACTTTGCGGAAGCGTCATCAAAACAAGATCGTGACCTTGCATGCAGTACAAGGGCCTACCTGCAGGCGCCCTCCGAACAGGATCAGGCTGTCTCAGTGGCAAAGACGCGGAAGCTTGTGAGGAATGCCCTTCTCGCTTGACTTGCACGGCCCTGCGGGATTTTTTGGGAGCTGGCCGTATGTTCACAATCTCCACATCCGTGTCACTGTCGCTGACCTCGCGCTTCACCTGTGGCGCTGGAGCTGGTGGAGGTCCTGGTGGAGATGGAAGAACTGGCCCTGGCGGCCCTGGTGCTGGAGCTGGCGGAGGAGGAAGGTCGACAGGTCTTGGTGCAGCAGGAGCATCAGCCGGAACATCCACGAGAGAACGAAAATCACCCAAAGCGTCCGAGGGAAGGTCCTGCTCACCAAAAGGCCGTGCAACCTGGGCAGACGAGCAGCGAACGGTTTTGTTAGGGAGGTTCAAGTAGGCAAACACAACAGAAACCGACCAAAAAAACTTGCGCAGCACCGTGCACCTCCTTCCGCTTTGGATGCATGTTTTGCCATGTCTTGATCTCATGCAGAATGTTGCTGAAAGGTTCCACACCATGGGCGGAACAGCGCCTCCGCCAAAGAAACTCTGACAGCACATGCCCATACGCTCTTTCGCCCACCTTGCCATAATGCCGCTGACGCAAGTACGTCTTCAGGCGGCCAAAAATAACCCTTCGACGGCATTGGTCGACACGTTCACACCCTGGCCGAATATGCGCTCCACCCGAGAGAATTCGCCGCTAGAGTGGGTCACGGCGCGGTGGACATATCCACTGTTTGGACGCGAAAGGAAATTGTAAGATCTGAGGCGATCTGTGAAAACCAGCGAACCTGGCTCCACATAGTGCTCAATCTCACGTCGCAGTGTGCGCTGAGAGCGATTTGGTATGACGACCAGAACAGCTGCACCTGTGGCTTTGCGAGTGGCCAAGTCCAGCTCCAAGAAGCCCATGACCAACGTTTTATTGCCCAGCGTGCTTCTGCCAAGAAATCCACCTTCATTTGGGTTTACGGCTCAAGACAAGATTCCAGGTTCATCAAACTCGCCTTGGTTGACCTTCTTCGTGGTGAAGAAGGTCTCATCCACGGCCACGACCCTGCCAGGGCCATTTTTACTACTACCAATACCATTACCATTTCCACTACCCCAACCACTACCACCACTCTGCTCCTACCACTGCTGCTGCTGCTGCTGCTGCTGCTGCTGCTACTACTACTACTACTACTACTACTACTACTACTACTACTACTACTGCTACTACTACTACTACTACTACTACTACTACTACTACTACTACTACTACTACTACTACTACTACTACTATTAGTACTAGTACTAGTACTAGTACTAGTACTAGTACTAGTACTAGTACTAGTACTAGTACTAGTACTCGTACTGCTGCTACTATTACTACTACTACTACTACTACTACTACTACTACTACTACTACTACTACTACTACTACTACTACTACTACTACTACTACTACTACTATACTACTACTACTACTACTACTACTACTACTACTACTACTACTACTACTACTACTACTACTACTACTACTACTACTACTACTACTACTACTACTACTACTACTACTACTACTACTACTACTACTACTACTACTACTACTACTACTACTACTACTACTACTACTACTACTACTACTACTACTACTACTACTACTACTACTACTACTACTACTACTACTACTACTACTACTACTACTACTACTACTACTACTACTACTACTACTACTACTACTACTACTACTACTACTACTACTACTACTACTACTACTACTACTACTATCACGACTACTACTACTACTACTACTACTACTACTACTACTACTACTACTACTACTACTACTACGACGACGACGACTCACAAGGCCACCACGACTCCAACAAGGTCCAGCTGCAGCATCAGCGAAAGCGAAGGCAGCAGCAACCGCCCATCCCACCCCTTTGACTTCAGGCGCGAAGGCGGCAGCCAACCCAATCCTAAACCTCTGACTTTTTGCGGCAGCCAACCCCAAGCCCAAACCTCTGACTTTTGGCTCTCCCAGCAGCCCTCGACTGATAGACATCTCCCTTGCAATGCCAAGGGGCTGCGAGCTTCAGGGTAGTTGATCTGCATCGATGCGCTTTTAAACCCAACCAATAGACAAGAGAAAAATAACAAAAGCACGATCAGAGTTCAAAAGAACCCTAAACCCGCAGAGGTTCAGGCGAGAGTGGAGCGCCAGCGGGCGTGGACTTAGCAAATCGGGGCGCGCGCCGGGTGCTTTCAGCAGCGCGCCCACTTGTTGAGACACCCTAAACCCCAAACCCAAAACCCTGAACCCTCAACCCGAAACCCTAAACCCTTAAACATTGCCTCGGTTGGTGTTTGCCGAAGCCCCTTGCAGTATTCCGAACGTCCACTTCCTCCTTCATGCGCCCCTTTTTCTTGTGAAGTCCCGGTTCAACTTCTTCAAAGCCATGCCCTCTCAGCTTAGTGACGGTTCCTCATTCATGTTGACCAGACAACATTTTAGCCGCCTCAAAAACCCTTTTTCCGGAAAAGGTAGCGGTCGGACTTGGAGCTTCCTTGCCAAGCAGCAGGGCCCCATAAGCTTGAGATACAGTTTGACCTTGCGCGCTGCAGTGTTTTAGAGGTTCCAGGCACTTATCTTCAACCTGAATGGAGTGCAGCTTCTTCTCAACCTGAATGGGGTGCAGCCGCCACGTTTGCTTCTTCCAGTGCCTTATTTATTTTGTCAATTCTCCACTTGAACGGGTGCCAGATGCTTGAAACTAAACCGGAGCTTACAAGGTGAGCAGACCAAGCGTGGCGCAAATCTTTAAAGTGGAATCTTCACTTTGGGGATGAACATGACATGGTACTGCCCCGCGCCAGCTCCATCTACCGGAAAGCGATGGCCAGTCTTTTCGGCTGTCTCTGGCACCCTTGTCTCATCTTTAAGATGCTGACGCTGGCTTGTTCTCACTGAGTGCCTTGGTCAAAGCAGATTGTTTTCAAAATTTCAAAAATGAAAAAACATTTAAAACAGGAAACGCTGGTTTTCAAGCATTTCAAAGTCTGCAGTGTGATATGATTTTGCAACGCCTGAGTTTAGAAACAAAATCGCTTAAGCACAATTCTGAAAACATCAAATTCATGTTTTTTTTTTTTTTTCCAACTAGGAAAGAAAAGCATTGTCAACGAAATGATCTGAAAACAAAAATGAGCCTTACTAATTTGCAAAATAACCAACCGGCTTGGCGAATCACTGCAGAAAGAGCTGGGTGTCGACTGGATTGTAAGTCTGGGGCGATGATAAACCAAAGCAGCTGCACAAGCACATCCAAGGGCCGCCTGCCAGGTTTGTCGTTGTTCGATATCTTGCGTTACCATCCTTTTTCACATTATGCTGGTGCCAGCATTCTGCCTGTCTTTCTTTCCTGTGCTTCTGTTCGCAAGTTCAGCCAGTGTGGAAAAAGAAGTCTGGACATTCGCAACGGACAAGTGCGGAAAGTGAATGAGGGGAGTTGCTGCACAGAAGTTTCCAAAAACGGTAAATGACCACACAGGTTTGCTCACAGTCTCTTCATGCAGTGCAAGTATCAGCCGCACGCAGGCTGCTTAGCCAACCGCATCAATTATGAAGTTTAGGACTAAATTTAGAGCTGCGCGCAGCGGCCGATTTTTGGACAACTTGAGCAGGTTTACTCCGTACTACACCTGATGCGGAACCCACAGCAAATTGTAAGAAGGCTAAATTCTCTGCTGTTCTTCCAACTGTACATCAAGCCAGAAAAAGCAGACACCCGAAAGAGTCTTAGCTGCACTGCCACAGCTGCCCCCGAATTTGGCGGTTCCAGCAGTCTCAGAGAATCAGGGACTAAAAGCTTTCTTGCCAGCCGAAAAATGGCAAAAAGTCGAAGGCACCAAAAAAGATCTTGCCTTGCTCATGCTTTCCAGGCGGCCAGCAAGCAAACCGGCCACTGCCAACTCTGGCGCTTGTATGGGGACTGTCTCTACGGACGCGTTGAGCAGTTTAAGTGACGGAGGTTTCTTGGCTTACGGTCTACCCATACTTTTGCTTAATGTCTGAGCCAGACGTGGCGCAGCATTGTCATGGGTAAGTGATTGGTGCCGGTAGGTTCTTGTTTGCATTGGTCTTACCTCGCTGGCCTTGTGTGAAGTTCTCTTGCAAGAAGAGCCCAGTGGGTTTCTTTGCAGTTACGATTTATTTTGCACTTGCTGGCTTGTACAGTTTGGCTCTTAAAGTAGATGTCCTTCCGTTGCCAAGACCTGTCCACTGGTCCGCTGATGTGGCAAAGGGGCGTCCGCTTAAAAAAAAATAACAGCAAAGAAGGGTCATTGCCAGCAAAACAAGGTGAGCAGCATCCCTGAAAGAAGACCCAAGAAAGAGAAAACTGCGAAGGTTTGTGTGGCAAAATCCAGCTTTTGTGGCGTTAGGAAATCAGGGCTTTGAGGGCTTGGGACCTTTTTTGGGTTTGCAGGTTTTTTGTGGTTCTTTAGAGTTTTGGCTTTGGGCTTGGGTGTTTACGGTTTTGTAGGGGTTTTTCCGGGTTTTCGACCTCCAGGGTTTGTAGATTCTAAACGAGGGAACTTAGCGTTTTGGGGCGCAAGAAGAAGTTTAGGGATTTAGGCTAACAGGGTGAAGGTTGTTCGGGTTTTTGCGGTACGGCTTTTGGGGCTTCGGGCGCTCAGGTTCAGTGCTTTGTTGTTCAGGTTTTCGGGCCTTTTCGGTTTTGATTTAGGGCATTTGGAGGGTTGTTGTGGCTTTCAGGATGTACGGCGGTCAAGTTTTGGGCCAGGTGAATATGGGGCTCGCCGACATTAGGGGTACCAGTTGGGGCCCTTATTGCAAAGGAATCCTGCTATTTGGGGGACCACATGGGTTCCGGTATTTTCTTAAACCCTGTTGGTTTATTCGTGGAAAGAAATGCCAAGAAAGGTCGTTAGCGCAAGGGATGGCCAATGAGACCGACAGCAACCTTGGGCTAGGGAAGCTAGCGCTTAAAGCCGTTGAGTTGCAAGGGCCTTGGCAATTTTCACGCGTGCGTGTTTGTGGAAGCATGGGAGACCTCCGCGTGCGGGATCAGCGCATGGAAATATACAAAGAGGTACCCGAGAAACAACTCATTCCGATAGGACATCATCACCCATCATCACCCTTTTGTTAATTCCAAAGACGGTGAAGGCAGTGCTGCCCGCCAAAGAATGGGAAGTGCATTATCGGACATGACCCGGAAGTGGTCTGAGTTTGCTACATTACAATGACACCCGCATCAAGATTGACATCCGCTTTGCGAGTACAAGGTCATCAGCAAAATCAACATTGCCCGTTTTTTTTTTTCTCAGAAATTGCGTGCAATGCGTGGCGTGCTTAGCCTTGCATGGTGGCTTTTGGAGCCACACATAGGAAAGTACAGTCTGTGACATGTTAGGAACTTGGATCGACCAATAGCTTACCCTGCCAGAACCGAAAAGGCACCTAACCGAAAGGATGGCACGCTGGGCCACGTAGGCAGGTTGCAAATATCGTCCGACTTCGATGCGGTTTTCTGAACACCAGCAGCCTCGACTGCCAACGCCGGCTTCATATTTTGGGACGAAGTCCTGGCGACGAACGATTGCGCCAACATCAAACTTGAAGTATGAAGGGTGTGCTCAACTTTTTGACGCGTCCATGCAACTGGGGCACCTTGCGCGCACTCCTCGTAGAAATTTCCGCAGCGGGATGTCGGGCGTTTCGTGTCGGGGCCATGCTGTTGGCTCACGTCTTACGAACTTTGTCCGCCAGCGGCTTCACTCACACGTTGGTGCCGTCCTAGTCACGAACGCGGACTTCTGGGACCTGAGCACCTGGATTATTGGTGCACTGCTACCAGGCCATTGCAAATCCGCTCAGGGATATATGTTAAAGGTGTGCCCAAGCTCCGGAAGATGTCTGCAAGACTTGGCTAATGCTTGCGCCTAATGCTTGCACCAAGCAAGGTCCCCAAGGTCCCCTTTGCTCGACCCGCCAAGTGCTTTGCAGTAACATTTTTGCCGTTGATAATTTGCTTAAAAGGGTACTAATTTCTCAATTCTTTGAGCCATGTCTTGAGCAAATTCATCACTATTTGGTGCTTTCTTCTCTAATGCACGCTTAGCACGTCTGTTTTTTGGTCAAGGGCTCAAGTTGCGTTGAGCGGCGGTTGATTGGAGGGCAGCAGCACAAAGAGCTGAAACAGCAACGTGTTGGGCGGATGTACCACCTGGAATTTTTGAGGGATGATCAGGAATACATATCACATGTCTGCAAACGACTGCGCTGAATGCTTGTCCGATTTGCCGACTGTACCCGAAGATGCTTTTCGGTTTGGCTCCGACTCCATGCCTCGGACCTAGGCTGCCAGGAAACGGGCTTAGGGCTAGACGTAAGTCCTGGGATCCATTTTTTGTGGGTGGGCAAGAGACCCTTAATTTTTTTGCCTTATCCCTGCAACTCTCCAAGGCCTAAGGCCGAAACTGCAATCCCACAACTGGTGCGGCACGGGTCCATGTCTTCTTTCGCTCACCAGGATGCTGGGGCAGGGGGTTGTTTAGGTTGCAGCAGAAGAATTAGGATTTCGGCCTCCGTGTTCAGGCGTTTAAGCCTTAGGGTTTAGGCTTGAGGTTTATAGGGTTTATTGGGTTTATAGAGGGCTTGTAGGGCTTGTAGGGCTTATAGGGCTTACAGGGTTTATAGGGTTTATAGGGTTATTGGGAGAGTGTTTACATGGTTGATCGTTGCCGGCATCCGCCCACCCCTGATACCCAAACCCGTTTAGCGACAGGATGGTGGCACACGCACGAGGGGTTGTTCTAAAGCGTGGGCATGTTTAAATCGAGAACCAGAATTTGGCGTTGGGCTTCAGGGTTCCTTTGGGCAAATCCCGTTGCGCCTCGGAGTTCCAGATTCCGGAGTTTATATAAACTCCGCATTCCTACTTAGTCCTAGTTTAGTCTTGATTCTTCCCATCATGTGAAGGGAGCCACTGGCTCGAAACGTGGACACAAGTAGTAGGCTCTGCTAAGGACAGCTTACCATGGTGGAAGGGAACGGCGTTTGGCGGACCGCCGCGAAGTTGCGGCTCCTTTTCCTGCGGAGGAGGCTCCGGGCAAGCAGCCCGAAAGGATCCATCGATGCCAGCAAGGTTGATGGCGGTGTGTTGGTGGCCGTGCAGGCCGTTGGAAAGAGCCTGTTCTTGCATTTCGGCACAGACTCTGGGCTCCAGATCGTGCAGCTCCACTTTGGCATGTCAGGTCCAGTGTTTTGGAAAGTCTAATGGCGTGTTTCTATTAAGTCTGTGTTTTGCTTATGCTAGCCGCTGAAGTCTTGCAGACGGTCAGGTGGGTTCCCGCTCTTTCGGCTGTCGGAGGACCCGGGGCCACGCAAGACCTCTCGTTTGCGCCTGGAAAGCTCGGAGACTGAGGTGGTGGGCTATATGTCGGGCATTCGCTGCCAGCTCCTTCCCGCATCAGGCCTGGACAAGGCGTTGGCTGGACTGGGCCCTGACCCTCTGCGCGTTGACAGCGATCCCTCGCGGGCGTGGAGGACCATTCGCTCCTCTGCGCGGCCCATTGGCCTGATGCTCATGGATCAGGCGGTGCTGGCTGGCATCGGCAACATCTATCGCGCCGAGGTGCTGCATCGGCTTCGTTGGCACCCACTGCGGCCAGCTTTCACTTTGTCCGTGTGGGACTTCGAGGCCTTGTGGAAGGAGAGCATTTGGCTCTTGCAACTGGGGGCCAGAGTTGGGAACATTGTGACGGTTCTGGACGATGAGTGGTCTGCCTGTGAGGCCAAACCGCACCAGCAGACCAAGAGCAAGGATTCCCGGAAACGGAGGTGGGTGTATTTCCGGAAGACCTGTTTGACCTGTGGCGGCCCTGTGCGATGCTGGACCCTTGGCGGCCGTGTCTGCTTTGCCTGCGAAAGTTGTCAACTTCCGTGGAAGGACATGAAGGACGCGGATTGCGAATTGGTGTCCGAGAGCGGCAAGACAACAGGTAGAAAAATCAGAAATAGAGTTTGAAGTTTGAACGGCGAGGGCAGTGTGGATGTAGATTAGGATTGGAATGTAGCTCAAACTCAAACGGAAACCTCTGAGACCCTTGTGCAATGAACAGCCGAGGAAGCTTGGATGGCAGAGGACAGCGAAGCGACGGAGCAAGGGCTCCAGAATGCGGTGGCCGCAGCCGAAGCCCAGCGAAAGCCAGGCAGAGGCTGCCTCTGATGCTCCCGTGCTGCGTGGCCTTGTAGGGCTTTCAGGCCCACCCTCACTCACCGTCATCACACCGGACGTAGCACCTGCATCCTTGCCGGTGACATTGCTGCGCCAGCTTCTAGCAGAGCGGCTTCTGCCCACTCAAGGCCGGAAAGCGGACCTGGCAAAGCGCTTTGCCGCCCACTGTGCCTTCCACGACGATGTCGGCTTTGGAGCGCTCTTTGTCGGCATGTCCGCATCGCCTGCGATGCCCACGAAGCCCGCGACGCCCGCGACGTCCGCGGATCGCGAAAGGATTCCAGGGGAAGCGTTGCCCGCGGTGCCCTGGCCCTTGGATCTCCAACGGGCCAAAGAGTTTGCTTCGATCCAATGCTGGAGAAGTCAGGAGTCGATCCACGCCTGGGTGCAGCAGGATCCCAAGCGCCGCCGCTACGGCCGCCTCTCCGGCCGCACTGGCAAGGGCGAAGGCCGCGACTTTGACTTCGAAGACCCTGAAATTCCTGAAAGCTTGGATGTGAAAGGGCACAGCAAAGCTGCAGACGCCGTGGGCTCCACAGGTTCCCTCGACGGTTCCCTCGACCCTGGCCTTGCACTGCAAGGCAAAGTTTCTGCCAAGCGGAAGGTCGCAGAGAAAGTCGTCGTCACACCACGCAAGAAGCGAAGGCAAGCGAGCCCTTCCAGCGCCAACAAAGTTAGGCACTCCAGGCTGGACTCCAGGCCTGTGTGGGAGATCAAGTTTTCTCGTTTATCTCCCAGCGTAACCCTGGACCTCTGTGACTTTTGATCTGGTGAAGCCGCCCTGGAGAAAAGGGAGCACTGTTGTAGGGTGCCTCCTGAGTTGCGCTTAGTGACTTAGCGCGCTTCTGTGCTGCCACGTTTGTTCTGGTGGCTGGTGGCGGAGCGAATTGAGCATCTGGGGTCAGTGTGCATGCCTTCACTCCCAAACTACCCCAAGTATCCCTAAACCCTAACTCGTCAAACCCTCCAGGCTCGACATTCCGAGCCGAGAACCAAACCACATCAAGCCACCAACTTCCTGCAATGCTACCTGTTGCCTTGACATCCCAAAGATCAGCAGTCTTATTGGCCTCGGTCAAGCATGAATCCTCCTGATGGAAACAAATGAGCCCAGCATGCCTGACATGATTTTGGGCTGCTACGGCCTTTCCAAAATTACAGCCCTCAAGCTGCCTAAATCCTGAACAACCTACACCCCAGATTCGATAGAACTCGATTGCCATCCATTGCTCCGAAAGCATCCTGCTGCCTAGCGCCGCTGCGGATGTTAGCGGCATCGAGGGGCCTTCGTGCTACCCTGATACATGGGATGGTTTTGTTGGTTGCTTGCAGACAACCTTCCACATTCCACCGTTTTATGGTACAGCATGCACCCCCGCTTCTCCCCCCACGAGCCTTCCTTCCCCCCTTCCTCACCCCATCAGGCCAAAGCAAAACTTCGGTTGTCAGAACTTTTCGGTGCCAGGTGAGTTTGTAGACGTTGCAGCCCAAACTGTCAAGGTTTAAATATGAGTCGAATATGAGGCTTTGATATTAACTTTGAAGTTCACAGGAGAAAGCACCTGTTTCAGGAATCGTTGCTGGGGGGTATGAATGCTTTCTGGAATTTCAGTCATCGCTTGAAAATCAATACCCTCACCACTGCAGGGAGTTTTCAGATGATGCACTTTTCGCAGCATTTGCTGAGGAGCAAGCCTGGCAGTAGTCTTGCCGTGCCATGTTATGGTTTGCAATAGCGTGTATATCTGTCGCGTTGAATGCCGTGCTTCTCCAGCAGCTGCTGTCCGTAAGAGTTGGATGTGACGCCATACAGAAGATCCAGCAAGCCAATGGGTCTATGTCAATGTCAGACATGCCAGCACGTGACATTGCAGAGTTGGGGCAGCTTTTCTTCAGGCAGAAAGTCAGTGAGTTGTTGATGGCCAAGGAGGTTCAAGAGGAGATTGGGTTCAGCAGCGAGGCTTGGGAAAAGGAAAACCCTCTGACGGGACTAGCCGTGGATTTGTTGAGTGTGGAGATAGCACCGGAAGAGCTGAACGAATTGCGAAACACAACGGTGAAACGCTTGGTGGAACGTTTGAACGAGCATGGTGTAGTAATTGTCAAAGGCCTCCACGCGCCGAAGGATTGCAGACAGGCAGCTGAGTTTGTTCATCGTGAGATTCTGTCGCCTTGGGCCACTTTCAGCAACATACGTGACAACAAGTACCGCAAAGACTACGCACTTCCGATGCGGGGCCCGGCCATCCAGTTGTTGAACAAGACCTTGTCAATTTTGGAGCCAGTGTTTACAGCAACTTTGGGCCCGAATGCAAGTTTGGTCGAGTTTTCATCGCTGACAACATATGGCGGCGCAGGGCCTCAGGAATTTCATGCGGACTCCAGCGTCACGTCAGTCCGGCAGATACGATCCTTGGGCCGCATGTTCTCGGCCTTCATTTATTTGGATGATGTGCGCTCCGATTCGGCGCCGCTGGATGTTGTGCCAGGTACGCATACCCACTACCAGTTTCTAGGTGATGAAGAGACAGAAATGATGACCAGTGTTCCTTTCGCCCGTCTTGCTGTACCGCAGGGGAGCATTGCCATTTACGACTCGCGTGCCTTACACCGTGGTGCAGCCAACACATCTCCGTTTGCCCGGCCGACGATATATTTTTCTCTTGCTGAACGGCGCAAGTTTATTCCAATCGGCCCTGTGTACTCCCTGCGGCAGGGTTATAGACGCTTCCCGATCGCAATTCAAAATGTTATAAGAAACTCGATACCTGATGAGGTGTTGGCGGATGGTGTGCCCGTACACAGCGACGAGAGATGCGCCGAGCAGTTGGAGCAGCTGTGCCCCACAGACAAGTTCAACGGGGATCCAGACCGGCGCTTCGATTGCGCCTGGTTTTACTTCACCGGCGACGGAGAATCAGCTGAGGTTCGACGCATGGGAAAGCTGCAGCCTCTTCAATTCACGGACCATCCTGGGGTGAAGGAGGATTTTCAGGTGCCTGTGGATCGAAATAGGTCATCTTCTTTGCTGCTCGCAGTTCGAAATAGGCCCTAGGCCTTACCATTCGGATGAGTACTGCATGTTAAGCTTTGCACTATTCATCTTATGTTTCGATTCCCCAAGCTGCGGCAACCTAAGCACCTAAAAGTCGGCCCTCCGAGATGGCGGACGAGGATGATGATGACCGTGATGCTCAGCTCGAGAAGGACAGGGAGAACCTTCGGGATGCGGATGGCAATATTGACTACGAGGCATCTGACAGATATATGTGGGGTTGCAATAGAGCTGGGCTGTTTCCCTAGAGCGACACTGTGGCCACATGAGTTGATCCTCAGACCGCTCGAGTTTGAAAACCACTTTGAGTGTCAAGTTGTCAATGGTGTTGATGATAAACCTCCACAATTCTCCAAGCCCAAGTGACCGTATGCTCCTGCATCTGCTGACGCAGGCAGCGCTGGCCTTGACGCTCACACGTGGCGGATCCTACCGTTCCCTGTCGTTGACCTTCGGATCATCTTGGCGTTTCAAGTGAAGCTCCTTAATCCCCAAAATGCCGGCGTCAGCTGTTTGGACTTCGGCTGCGTGCTGGAAGTTGAACACATCTCTTTCGAATCCGCGACCTCGAAGCCCAAGCCGTAGGCATGGCATTTGGATTCTGGATCGGAATTCTCCGAAATCAGACTCTGTGATGAGGCTCCTATCCCCTGGACCGCCGCATGCCGAACTGCGGTGTTGCGAGCCGCCCCTGTAGCTGCAAGGCCGTAGGCTTCAACAGTTCGGATTTCAGAGTGTTGAGTCCGGGCAAGTGCCGGACCATAAACATGTGACTTGAGGGTTTATAGGGCTCATAGTAACGTTTATCAGGTTTAGAGGGCTTGTGGGGCTTGTAAAACTTATAGGGTTTATAGGGCTGGATTCTGGACCTCTACCATGTAGGTTTCAAAGCAGGAACGGTGCAGTGATAACCTAGATAAGCAAGGGGCGGTGTCGAGGCCTATGTCAGGACCTCCGGAAGTATCACAGGCAGCCTCCATCCACTGAAGCTTCAGCCCCCAGGCTTGAGCACTCCCCTCAGCTCTGGTCCCTAAACCTCACCTCAGCCTCAACCAAGCTGTAAAGGTTGTAAAGGTTGTAAAGGTTGTAAAGGTTCACCCAAGAATGTCCAATGATTTGCCAAGGCATGGAGATGCTTCTCAAGCGGGGCATCTTCGCGGACGACTTCGCTGCCAACGTCAGCTGGGGCAAGCTCGGGCTCCGCTCCCAAAGGCTTTCAGCTTGCAGGGACTCAGGGGGCTTAACATGGTCTTAACATGTTAGGGGGGAGGTTTGTGAGGAAAGTGCAGTCCGCGCTTCTCCCGCCTTTCCTCCTTGTCTTTACAACCCGTAAGATGCAATGTTCAGCTCCAGGCCTCTACCCCTCTGTCACAACACGCTAAGACACACAGCCAAGACGCAACTTTTTTGTCAGGCTTCCTTCCGCTTAAGCCATGGTATTGGGTGGTTGGGTTGGGCCAGAGTAAGATGAAAGCAAAGGTAAATCCACTTTATGGAATCCTCATCTTGCAGGGAGGAGTTCAATGGCTCCACATGAAGTGCCACTTGAATTTCGTCACTCGCCAACCAAACAGGCCCCTCATGCAGTTAGACAAGCTCCGAAAACGTTGGAATTCATCTCCTGCACCAGAGACTGGAACGGGTGGTTGCCACTGCTCTCGCTTGCTTGAGGGCTTGTCTCGGCTTGTGCCCTTTCAACCTTTCACCTGCCCTAAGCCCTGAAACACGTGGGGGCTGTCAGGGTGTCATTCAGGTTGCTGCCATGGGTCGGGTCCTGCCTACCTACCTCCCTACCTACCTACCTGCCCAAGCAGCTTTCTGCCCTGCGTTCAGTTGTGCATTGTGCACGTGTCCCCCCAAGCCCCAAAGCCCAGAGCCTGATCCTCAAGGCCTTCCTGAGCATTTTTTCAGGCCTATTTTTGCTTTCGTTTTTACTCTTGCCCAATCCCTTAATCCTTTGCAGCCTAAGCTTTGTGGTTATGCTTTTGCCAGGTCTTCACAAGAATGAGTCCGTGAGTGGCCTGTAGCGAGATAAAAAGGAAGAGGGCCCCTGCACGGTGAACCTTGGAGAAAGCTTCGGCGGGAAGATTTCAGGGGCCCAGAAGCGTGACCAGGATTGGTTTCACTTCTGGTGTTATGTTCGCCAAATACAATGTTGTTCGATGCTTTGCACAAGACTTTCCATGTTTCACGTTCATAGGAGAACAGCTCACTAAACCTCTACCGCATGTTTGCACTCTGATATGATTCGTTCTAGCTCTGGGTTGCATACAGAGACAAAGCAAGGGATTAGGTATCTTGCGCTGGAAGTGTGATAGGAAGCACATGTTGCACATCCTCCTCGTCAAACAAGCTCTAGCTATTGGATCCATACACTGGCCATCAAAGTAGGCCACGTAAGGTTTAGGGATCTTGAGATTTTTTTGGATTGTGGGGGGGGAGGGGAAGTGTAGGGCATCAGTTTAATCGTGATGAGTTCTTGATTTCGGCGTTTGTGCTGTCTGGGTGTTTAGGGGCGAGTACCTGGAGGGAGCTGTTACTGGGCGAAGTTGCAAGGACGATGAGATCAAAAACAGTTGCGCGCCCAGTATGGGCTTTGTGCATATCTGAGCGCGTGCGCTCCGTTGGTTTATCAAGCCCCCAAAACAGCTTTAAAATTTTTAAAGCGTTCTTGGAAGCCTTTTTCACGGTCGTGATAATGTGGTCCTTAAATTTTGAAAAGACTGCAGTGATTTCATGTTCCTAAATTATGTTGACACGGAATGTTCCGAAACCGGAGCCCTGTGAATAGCATGTTTCCGACATGTTGCATTCGTGCTTTATTTTCCATGGAAGCACATGAGCAAGTTTTTTATTGTATTGCTTGTTGTGAATTTTCACTGACTTGTCTGATGAGTGACATGGTTCAAGTCGGGCTCCTGCAGAGCTCAGAGTGAAAATTTTGTGGGCCTGTTTCTGCTTAAGCTTGTGAGACCTCCAACAGGCTCTCTTTGCAACAGGCCTTGCCACAAAGGAGTTCGCCCTTAGGGCTCGTGCAAGCTCCCGCGCAGCGGGCAGCGGATGGTCATTGCGTCCGTCCTTGCTCGAGGCCGTGCCGCCTCCCAGAGGCTCTTCCTGGTGCCTCAGGGTCCCCTTCCTTCGGGTTCTGTCTGGATTCGGGGGTTTTGCTGGGGCTTCCTTTGTGGGTTCTTTTCCTTCGTGTATCTGCTGTGCATCCTGTGAGCCTCGTACATGCAAGCCGTCGCCCTTCGGTGTGACCTCGGCACTTTGTGGACGCAGCCACGCGTTGCGCAGTTGCTGTGGCACTTTCTGCACGTCACGGATCGTGTTCGAGTGCAGAGCATTACTTGGTGGATTCACGCAGATATCCGGTGGTTCATTTTTGAGCTGCAGCCTGCTTTGCCTGACAGCGACTTCAGCAGTGAGGAAGAGCTCCTCCCGCGCCGTGCGGGGTAGTGCCTGCAATGTCTTCAATGGCTTCGGGAATAGGGGGTTTGGTTATCAGCAGTCATGTGCGGCATGTGTGGGCCTCGTCCAGCGCCTCAGCCTTCGATTTCTTGAAGCCGGATGCACTGTTGTCAGCCTCGCCCCTACTTCAGGACCCCAATAAGAGACCCAGGCTGCTGCCCGCTCCTGTGGGGCCTCTGCCTCCTTTGCCAGTTCCTGATGAACCTCGGCCTCAAGCAACTCCTCCAGAAATCGACTATGGGGTGAATGCGTACTTGGCAGCTGGGTTGAAACCGTTGACTGCCAGGGATGAGACCTTGAAGTTGCAAGCAATCACGTATGAGCGGAAGTGCGCCCTGAAGAAGTGGTTGAGCTTAATCTCTGTGAACTTCCAGGCGTGGGAAATCGCGAGACGGGCTCTGGGCCCCTTCGAGCCCAGCTTTGCGTGCAAAGGCCTGGTAGACAGTGTCAGAGATGCTGCGGGAGTTAAGGCTTCAAGCACTTTGCATAACCGAGCCGGACCCCTGCTCCGGTACGTGAAGTTTTGGAAGGGTCGAGGACACAAGTGCTTCCCCGTGAGTGAGGGACAGGTCTACTCCTTCTTCAAGGACGGGGGAGATATGGCGCCCACTTTTCCAAGGTCCCTGATGATTTCCATCAGCTTCGCTGTGCACGTGTTTGGCTTGGTTTGGACTGATGACCCGTTGAGAAGCGGGAGGGTCAAGGGCTTGGTCGCTTCCCACTATGCGACGAAGCGCGAAGAAGTCAGGAGACCGGCTTTCACTGTGGAGCAGATCAAGTTGTTGGAGAGGATCGTCATGGACAACGGGAGGTCTTCGTATGACAGAGTCGCTGCAGGGTTCTTTCTGCTGCTCGCGTACGGTCGTTTGAGGTTCAGTGACGGGCAGAGGATTACCAGCTTCCTGTTGGATCAACCCGACCCCAACAAGCCTGAGCTGGGATATCTGGAGTGTACTGCCAAACGCACCAAGTCGCAGGTTGGCATGATCAAGAAGGCAAAGGTCCTGCCCGTGGTGATCCCGTTGGCTGCGGTGGGGCTCTGCTGGATCCCTACCTGGCTTGTCCTCCGGATGAAGGCCGGGCTGTGCTATGGAGGGTCGGTGCCGGAGAATGAGCCGATTCTCCCGGCGGTTGCGGCAGGAGGCGGCTGGACTCGAGTTCCCCTTGACGTCTCGGCGGCTAGTGATTGGTTGAGGCAGCTGCTGAGACATACTGCGCAGGTCGGTCCCATCAAGGTGGGTACCCACAGCGCCAAGGCAACCATGCTCAGTTGGGCTGCCAAAGTCGGCATGGATGATGGGCCCAGACGCTTGTTAGGCTTTCACGTGAAGACCGGAGACTCCCTGATCGTGTACAGTAGAGACGCTATGTCTCATCCTATGCGGTTGCTCGTACGCCTCATCCTGGACGTCAAGAACGGCAAGTTTGACCCAGACTTGACCCGCTCCGGGGCTTTGGCAAGTGAGCTGGCTGGGGAGTCGGAGTCTTCCGAGGGCTCGACGGATGAAGAGTGCAAGCAGGTGTCGGAAGAAGAGAGGGCCGTGGAAGAGGTCGTCGGCGAGTGGGACCCGGGCCACGGCCCCGACGAACACTTCGCTAGGCACCTTGTCTCACGATGCATTCACAAGGTTCGGGATGAGGCTGGGTCGCAGCTGGTGTGTGGTCGCACTATCAGCACGCGCTTCGAGGTCCTGAACAAGAAACCGGCATTCATGCACCCCTTGTGCTCAGGATGTTTCAGTGTCTGAACAATTTTGGAACGCACTCGCGCAGCCTACGAAAACGTGATGGGTGAAGGGACACTTGTCTGAGTAGACATGCAGAGACATGGGTGCACATGGTACAAGAGCGCTCAGCAGCACTTGGTGTCTGAGTACCACAGTGAGCGATCATGTCATGAAGGTGTGTGGGTCAGCTCGTGGATGATAAATGTGAATCTTGACGCGCGCCCTCAATGTCTTGAGATTTTGAAAGTGGTAGAGCTCTGATCCGTCATGTCGGTGGCTGACAGCAAAGCAGTCTTCAAAGCTCGGGCGGTGGCCGTGGGCCTCGAACCTGAGATCTTGACGCACCTCGCGAATGGCGAGATTGACACGTTGGCTTCGCTGGCCTTTTCTTGCAGCTACACCCCAGGTAGCTCTGATGACTCGGTCTTTGTGACGCTGATGGGAAAGCTATGCGGTAAGGATCCTGGGGTCAAGCAGCTGGCGTGCCTCCGCAGGTTGTTCGCGGAAGCGTACGCCATCGTAGCGAGTGACATCAAGACTCAGGTAGAATCTTCAGACGATGTCCCCATCAAACGTTTGGCGCCAGCCGACCGTGCTCAGAGGTTGGCCGATCAACAGTCGAGGCTGGCCGGCCTCAACTTGAGGGGCCATTTGGAGCCAGGTGATGGCCTGGTAGACAGATGTGCCCATATCTATGAGACAGACCGGCTGGCTTACGTTGAGTGGGCGGCCTGTGTATCCAGAGACCATGAGGTGTTGACTGGCACCAAGAAAGACGGCATGCTGGTCCTTGATGCTAACGGCCAAGTCAAAATGTCGTCGAAGCAAGGTGCAGCTCCATGCGAGACTACCACAGAGCTCCAGGTGCGCTACTGCCTAATGAGGCGTGGTCTGGCGTTTGAGCAAGCGAACATCCTCGATTATAAGCTGCACGACCAGTTGATCGAAAAGTACTTTGAATATCGCTTGATGCCGACACCTCCCGGCTTTGCAGCTGTCGGGATGGGGCAGATCGAAGCGGCTGACCGTCGGTTCTTCATGCTTATGGCAGAGCGCACGAGGTCGGGGATCAAAGCCACCGCCGGTGGACGACCATGTGACAAGGAGTTCAAGGCATGCATCGAGAGCAGTGAGTTCCTTTCGATGATCCAGCACAAACCTTTGGCTGCTGCTGCCAAGGAAGCCGGGACCGAGGAAGGCTCCCCGTCCAAGAAGCGCCGCTTGGGCTCAAAGGGCCGAGGCAAGGGCAAGGGCAAAGGCCGCGGTGAGCGGTCCGTAGGAGGCATTGTTCCGGCCCAGCTACTGCGCCTCGGATGTGTTGCCTGTACCTCCCGTGGGAACC